AGTCTGCTGGAGATTCTCTCTCCCTCTACCTCTGTCCCTCCCATTTATACTCTTGCACATGCATTCTCTCTCTCAAAAATAAATAAATCTTAAAACAAAGAAATAAATGGACAATGGTCTGACCATAACTAAAAACAGAGCTCTGACCCACTACCTGCAGCAACCAGCCCCATAAGACAGCCTACTGAATACAAGTCAGGCTTGTAAGGAATCAGATCGCTGTCCCTAGCAAGCAATCCAGGAAGCCAAACAACAACCCCTGTAATGACTGGCCAAAAACAGCAGGAACTTAAAGCATAATTCACAGCTTCCTTCATTTTTATTCTTGCTTCCAACATAGCGCCAAACAGAGGAAGCCAACTACGCCCCTTTGCTCAATCATGGAGGATGTTCGGCTTCTATTAGCTTGCCTCCAGCTTTCCCGGGTGGACAGCCTCCTATCAAGACCTTTTTTTTTCTCTATAAAGCTTTCCCACTCCTCTGCTTGCCTTTGAGTCGCTGCCAAACACGAGTGATGGTGGTTCACTCCCTTGCCATAGGAGACTCTGAGTTAATAGTCTTTGCCTGTTCTCATTTGGTTGGTCTTCATTTATGTTCCCACTGAGGGTACAGAGTTGAGCAAACACAGACCCTCAACCTGTCCTCATAGTTCTCACTGTCCAGTGAGCAGAGAGGACACACTAGTCAAGCAATCACAGTAAATGGGACCATGCAGCTGTGACTTTGCTGTAAGAGAGAAGCACAGGGGTTCAACCACCATTGTTCATCCAGTGAAGTGGGGGTCTGACCTAGTCTGAGAGTCAGGGAAGTCTTCCTGGAAAAAGTGATGCCTGACCAGAGATGCAAAACCTACGTATGAGACACTGAAGGCAAGAGGAAGGAGGATATTCCAGACAAAGGAAACAGTACAGGGAGACATGGATGGAGGGAGGGTGGGTAACCAAGGGACTGGAAGGGCTTCCAGGTGGGAAGATGATATGAGATGATGCTGGAGGAGTCCACAGGGGACGGATCATACAGGGCCTTCAAGACCACGGAAAGGACTTTTGTCTCTATTGTGAGAACAAGTGGAAGCCAGTGACAGGCAGTGGGAGGAGAGAGGAGCCATATGCTTGGTGTTATGGGTTGAATCATGTCCCAAACAAGATCCACTCAAGTCCTAACCCCTATTATCTAAGGATTGTGACCTTACTTGAAAATAGGGTTATTGCATATGTAATTAGTCAAGGTGAGGTCATACTGGAGTAGGGTGGACACTTAATCCAATATGACTAGTGTCCTTACAAGAAGAAGACACACAGAGAAGATGGCCATGTGATGACAAAGACAGAGATTGGAAGGATGAGGCTATGAGCCAAGGAATGCTGAAGATTGCCAGCAAACACCAGAAACTGAAAGAGGCAAGGAAGGATACTTCCCTGGCACCTTCGAGGAAGTGTGGCTCTGTGGTCACATTGATTTCAGCCTCTGGCCTGCAAAACTTGAAACAATATATTTCTGTTGTTTTGAGCTGCTCAGTCTGTGGACCTCTGTTATAGTCGCTCTAGGAAAAGAACACACTTGAGTTTTTAAAAGATCCATCTGGGTGCCTGGGTGGCTCAGTCAGTCAAGCGTCTGCCATTCTGCTCAAGTCATGATCTCAAGGTCCTGGTATCAAGTCCCGCACTGGGCTCCCTGCTAAGTGGGAAGCCTGCTTCTCTCTCTCCCCCTATCCCACCCCAACCCCCACTGTGATCTCTCTCAAATAAAGAAATAAAATCTTAAAAAAATATAAATAAATAAAATAAAAAAGATCTATCTGGCTAGGTTGAAGGGGAGCCTAAGTGGACAAGGGTTGGCCATGTAGGGTCTGCTGCATTCCTCCCCAAAGACAAGATGGTGGTTTGGGCTAGGGTGGTGACAAGTGGGGCATGAGTAGAAGACAGATCTGAGGAATGTTTGGGAAGTGACATCTACGGAGAGAGTATGGAAGTGGGTCAACTGTGCTCTTGTCTACTGTGTGATACATGTTAAAAAGAGAGCCCCAAACATTTTCAAGAAACTTGTCATCAACAAGGCAGCTGGGATTGAGCACAGGCAGTTATGACATCTAGGACAGGCCGGTGGGTCAGGAGATGGGCCAGGGCAGCATGGCTAGAGAGACATCCCAGGGTTACACAGCAAGTGATCAGTTTGGGGGCTCAGGGTAGAGGGAATCTGTAGGATTAAGAGGCACACTGGGGATTTGGATAGAAACAGGTGATTATTGGAGACAGCATAAGATATCTGAAACAGAAGTGTCATCTGAGAGTCCAGGGCCATCAGCAGTAGTAATGTCTAAATACACAGCCCGGCCAGGGTCGCCAAGTTCTTTGTTTCCCCACCTGCCAGCCTTCCTCCCCTCAGACATTGCTAGCTGGTCCTGGCATCCTCTCCTTCCACTCCGGGAAGTCCCTACCAATCAAGTGGAATGGATACACAACACGTCATCTTGTGATCCCAGGACAGGGGTGGGATTCAACAGGGAACTCAGAGACTCTTCTGGAGGTCTGCAGATCTGCATTTGGTTCCCTGATCCTCAAAAGAAGCCCAGAAGGTTGACAGAGCACCCGCTTGCATCCCTCCTATTCGCTGCCAGAGGAAACTGAGACTCAGAGTCTTGAGGCTAGTGAAGGACCTCGTGAGGGTCCAGTTAAGGTTTTCTACTTCTAAATCTTCTTTCTACTCTTTCCTGGGAGCACTTGTGAGTTTGGGGGCCCAAATAATGTAGACCGCTGAATCAACATCGTTTTTTTTTAATTGTGGTAAAACACATAGAACATAGGACTTACTGTTTTAACCACTTTAACTGTACAGCTCTGTGGCTCTAAGCACATTCATGTTATGCAACCATCACGACCACCCAGAACACTTTTCACCTTCTCAAACTGTACTTCTTTCCCCCCATTGAACACTAATGGAAAGAAAGAACTTCCTGAGTTTCTATGGCAACTTAAGGTTAGCAAATCTACATTCTTTTTTTTTTTTTAAGATTTTATTTATTTATTCATGAGAGACACAGAGAGAGAGAGAGGCACAGGTACAGGCAAGGAGAAGCAGGCTTCCTGCGGGGAGTCCAATGTAGGATTTGATCCCAGGACCCCAGGATCCCAACCTGAGTCAAAGACAGACGCTCAACCACCCAGGTGCTCTATAAGAGATATCTAAAGTAATCTAACTCCCAGAGAAAGTAGAATGGTGGCTGCCAGATTGGGCAGTAGGAGAGGGCATCCTTATTCAATGGGCATAGGGGTCAGTTTTTCAAGATGAAAAAGCTCTGGAGATCTCTTGTACAACCATGTGCATATTGTCAACATTACTATACTGTATGTATACTTTAAAAGGGTTAAAATGATAAGGTTTATGTTATGTGCTTTTTTTAAGCCATAATTAAAAAAAAAAAAAAGTTTAGCACAGCACTGGCTACCTAGGGACTCAACAAATACATGCTGAAAGCCAAAAACAAACAAACGAAAAGCAAAAAACCTGAGGTCTCAAATCCTGGCCTCGTGTTTTTCCTGTAAATTTTAGATACGGGATATGGTTGGTTGCTTGCCTCCTTTTTGCTTTTCTTAGTGTGTGCAATTTAAGATATTGCTGGGAAAATAAAAATCAAGACTTTTTTGGCAAATCATCCAAGCGGTGCCATCCCTTTGATGGATGAGTTTATGTGTCCATCTGACACTGACTTTGGGTCTGTCCACTGCAGACCAAGGTCAGCCTCACACATCCACAGCCTCAGAGGTCAACAGCAGACCTGCTTCAAACAGCAGCCACTGGGCAGCCCGGGTAGCTCAGTGGTTTAGCGCTGCCTTCAGCCTAGCGCATGATCCTGTAGACCCAGGATCGAGTCCCGCATCGGGCTCCCTGCATGGAGCCTGCTTCTCCCTCTGCCTGTGTCTCTGCCTTTCTCTCTCTGTCTCATGAATAAATAAAGAAAATCTTAAAAAAAAAAACAAAAAACCCAGCAGTCACTAACACCTGGGGGGCCCCTTTTCAGTTTACAGAGCACCCCATTTGTGTCATCTCATTTGGGCCACTGTCTCCTCTTTACCAGGTTTCTGGTCTCCCCCACACTGCCAGCGGGGTTCGTTTGCAGAACTGAAACCTTAGTTAAGGTTTGTTGAGGTTTGTTTTTAAAAATTGGCTCTTCCCACCCACATTCCCTTATGCTATAAATAGAAAAAAAAGAGGTTTAATTAGTAAGGCAAGACATTTGAGCTACGTCTACTTGATCCTTGAAAAGGAAATCTAAGAGGTTCTTACTATCACTTTTTCAGTCCTATATAAGGTAGGTCAGTAAGGTAGCAAAAGCACATCTGTTTTTTTGCTCCTTCAATTCTTTTTCCTGATTCTTCTTGGGGGAAAATCTAAAACGGTGAGTAGCTGGTGGACCTACAAGACCCCAGATTCTTCTTTCCTACCTGCGTTCATATTACGCTGGTATGTGCTGTGCTCAGATTTCTTTCCCCATGGACTTGACACCGGGAAAGATTTTAATCTCTGATGGATGGGCTTTTCATGTCTTTGATTCCCAGCCTTCAGGATAGATAGCATCTTTTCCACAGAAGGGCTTTGAGTAGCCCAAGTTGTATCCTTTCCCATGTGACATTGGCAACATTGCATTTTCAGTGCATGAAAATACCATTGCTTTTGTAACATGGTTTACTTTTGGATGTTTTGTAGATGCCTATGAAAGTGATTGGCTGTGCAAATAATTCTTTAAGTTGTATTTCTTAATTCTGCCTTAGGAGAATATTCAGGAGAAGGCACTGAGACAACGGGGGCTGGAATCATTTCAATTGATGGTTTGCATGTGGCTACTTTGTCTCATCACTTAATAGGATATACCTCAATCTCATGTTTAAAATTTCCCTACCAGCATACAGTTTCAGTGGGCCAAGGAGGGTGTAGTCCCCCTAGATATGCATGTCACTGCTTGCCGTTGACCACAGCTCATTTATTGTGTGCACAGGTGAAAAATGAGCATCACAGATGTCCTTAGCGCTGACGACATCGCAGCAGCCCTGCAGGAGTGCCAAGGTAAAGGGCAGTGAGGCGGGGCTGGGATGGGGGGTGGGGTATTTCCCACCTGGTCACACCTCCAGCAAAGCCAAGAAAATTAAAATGTGGACTTTGCTGAACATTCATGGGATCAGAGAAGAAACTGTTACCAGTGAAATAACTACAATGAGAAAGCATAGGATTCCTTTGCTGTCAGGTGGAAGAAACTTACTAAAAGTGAAAAAACGTGAGGATATGATGTAGACTGTTTGAATCCAATGACTGCATTTCACATTCTCCCCCGCCCCCATTAGACCAGTGCTGCTTGAGTCTTGGACACCCAGCCTATTAAAAGGGAAGGGGGAGGCATGGGATGGGGGGGGGAGGAAGGAAGGGGGGAGCAAGAGCAAGTGGGCAGGGAAGTGGGGAGGGCCATAGGAGATGCTGTCACAAAGTCACCTGGTCTTGGTTGCCTCAAAATCTTGCACTAGTCACAGCCCTGTCTTTTTTTTCTTTTTCTTTTCTTTTCACTTATTTTTCTTTTCTTTTTCCTTTCCATTCCCTTTCCTTTTTTTTTTTCTCTTCTCGTTCTTCTTCTTCTCCTTCTCCTTTTTAGAGGGAGAGGGAGTGGGAGGACAGATCTGGAGAGGGAGAGAAAGAATCCTAACCAGGCTCGACATGGGGCTCGATCTTATGACCATGAGATCACGACTTGAGCTAAAAATCGAGTCAGACGCTTAACGGATGAAACCACCCAGCACCCTATCTTCTTTAAAATTTGAAAACAGAGCCTCCCTGTAGCTTGATGATATCACGAAGAGGGTTTTAATAACTTATGTTTTCAGCACCTTGGTCCAAATACAGAATGTGACCCGATGAGCCTCAGAATAACCCTCTCTCTGTCCTTCAGACCCAGATACTTTCGAACCCCAAAAATTCTTCCAGACATCGGGCCTCTCCAAGATGTCGGCCAGTCAGGTGAAGGATGTTTTTCGGTTCATAGACAATGACCAGAGTGGATATCTGGATGAAGAAGAGCTTAAGTGAGTTTTGTCCTGAGCTTGCGTGGCACCTTTGACATTGCTAGGTGGGTTGGGAGCAGTGGAGGCCAGTTTGGTAGGATTTCTTCAATGGCCAGCCTTGACACTGGTTCAGCAGAGCCCCATGGAAGGGAAGAACATGAGTCAGTGGGCCATGCATCTTTCCTTGTGAAGCACTAGACATGAGCGCTGAAGACTGTAGGTGCAAAAATTCATTCACTGTAGGTTTTTTCTTTGGCAAATGTACTTATCAACAAAACTGTGAAAAAGCATTTTAATCTTTTAAAATTTACTTTTTATTTATTTTTTTGAGAGAGAGAGCAAGAGCAGGGTTGAGGGTCAGAGGGAGAAGCAGACTCCCCCCTGAGCTGGGAGCCTGATGCAGGACTCAATCCCAGGACCCCAGGATCATGACCTGACCTGAAGGCAGACAATTCACTAACTGAGCCCCCAGGTGCCCCTCTGAAAAAACACTTTTAAAAACAAAATGCCCACCAGTAGTTTCTACAAGGAAGGCAAGTTTAGCTTGTGAAAGCCTTTGACTGAATATTGCAATGGCCAGGAACAGTTGATTTGCTTCAGGAGAGAAAAGGGTAATTTTTTCAGGAAATTTCCACCAATTTTGATTGTCCTGCAGGTTTTTCCTCCAGAAGTTCGAGAGTGGTGCTAGAGAGCTGACAGAGTCAGAAACCAAGTCTTTGATGGCAGCTGCAGACAATGATGGTGATGGGAAGATTGGAGCTGACGGTATGTTCACACATGCACATAGCACAAACGAATTTAGCTCTGGAAGCGATCTGGGGGACTTGGGCAATGAGATCAAGCAGACATGGTTAGTGAAGATCCCCCTTTCTTAACTTTGCTGAGCTTCAGCTTTCTCATTTGTAAAATGGGCCTGATGCGAGGATACAAATGATGTACGTAGAGGCTAGCATGATGTCTGGGGATGTACCATAAAAGCTGATCCTGTGAATCGCTGTCTGTGACCCAGGAAATACCCTTCACCTGACCAGGGGACTAGCTATTGTCTGGCTAATATTTGCAAGACACCCTAATGCATCATGAGAATTATGTGAGGAATTTTTACCACTGAGATTTGAACCCCCCTAAGGGAAGAATTGACATTCTCAAGTGTGTCTTGTATCAAAATGTCTCTTGACTTGAATAGGAAAGCCTCTTAGCTTTCAAGGTTTAAACAAATACATTTTATTGGACATTAGCCCACTGACTGGACAATATGGGAGAGTAGATCAAACATCATGTACGGAGACTTTTGTGTGCAGAGCCCTATATTCAAATTTTAGTATAGAAGCATGGCTGTAGGATTATTTTCATCCAGTTCAGTCATATTGCTTACATGTTTTTTATTTTTATCTTTTTAAAATTTTTATTTATTTGAAAGAGAGATCACAAGGGAGGGGAAGCAGCAGACTTGCCGCTGAGCAGGAAGCCCAACACAGGGCTCTATCCCAGGACCCTGAGATCATGACCTGAGCCAAAGGCAGATGCTTAACCAACTGAGCCACTCAGACACCCTACTTACATGCCTTTTAGCTACACTGTGCATGCCAACTCAGGAGAATTTATGCATGGTCTTTGAGGTGGTACTCATTGGAGATTAAAAATTCCTATTTAGATCCTCCTTTTAAAAACCTATCCAGGGATCCCTGGGTGGCGCAGCGGTTTAGCGCCTGCCTTTGGCCCGGGGCGCGATCCTGGAGACCCTGGATCGAATCCCATGTCAGGCTCCGGGTGCATGGAGCCTGCTTCTCCCTCTGCCTCTCTCTCTGCGACTATCATAAATAAATAAAAGTTAAAAAAAAAAAACCTATCCAAAATTATACCACTATGACTTACTACACAGGAGTTAATGTAGCTTCTATACATAGCTCAGAAAAATAGTTTAGGTAAGAGAAAATATATTTACTTAAATCTAACCACCAAAAAATTCCAAATAGGCAAAGTGTACCAATAAATACAGAGCAAATCCCCAGGTTTCCAATTTCAGTTGGTCACATCTGCTCATTCTTACCACTACCATCATCACCAGCATTTAGTAATATAAACTCTTGGGGGTAAGGTTAGAGTTCATCAGACAAAAGTGAATTCCAAGCCCCCGCCCCCATGAATTGTTTCCTACATCTGCACAACATAGCTTCAGAAAAGAGGAAGGAAACCCCCAATCTGTCTTAAAATAGCCAGACAGAGAATTGAGTGATCCCAGATTGCAATAAGTTATTATACCAAATCCATGTGTTGTCAGAGGGAAATGGCTGGACTCACAAATTCGAATACAACAGGCTCTATTGCAAAGCTGAAGACGTCTGTTAGATTATGCAGGAAGATGGAACACTATAGACCATCTGCACCTGTAGTCAGTGACACATTTTTCCCCCTCCTTTTGTGCCCGTGGAGGGGGCCAAACCCATCACCGAACAATCTGCTTCCCTTCCTCTTCAGAACTCTCACTGGCCACAGCATGTCTGGAAAAATACCAAGCCATCTCCACTGATGTTTTCTCACCTCTTCTGTTTTAGAATTCCAGGAAATGGTGCATTCTTAAAAGCCCCAGGCTGTGGAGACAATCAGCCAGAAGGTCTCCAAAGCCCCAGGAATGGGAAACACCACTTCCTCTCCCTAATTTATTTATTCACTCCCCCACCCCCACCCCCACAAGTGCTTCTGCAATTTACTCCTGTTTTAGTGAGGTTGAGGTAATAAGACAGTCATTCATGAATTTTCAATGGTCAGTATGCCCTGATGACTCTGTAAGGCCCTCGGCAGACAATGCCTTTAAAATTCATCCAATAAAGATACGTTTCTCATCATCTGCTGATGTGTGGGTGTGTTGTTGTTTTGTTTTGTTTTTTTTTTTTTCAGCAAGGTACAGGAATGAAAGCAACTTGGGAGCCGAGGGCTTTTAGAAATATTTCTGGTCTTATCAAGCACTAAGTGGAGTGTACAACCAACAGAGGAAAAGGTTGGGGGAAAAAAAGTGACAAACAAATGGCACTGTCAGGCTAGGATTTTCTTAGGGAGTTATTGGAGGCTGGAAGTAATACAAAGAAATTTACAAAGAGCCTAAAATCACCTTTGCTTATGTGTTAGATGGCCTAAGAGGGATTTAAAAGCCAACAGTACAGGACAGAAAATAGTGTGAGGCTACAGTGGCCCCAAAGCTAAGGAGACTTGCTCTGCCAAATGGGCACAAACCCATTTTTCAAGCTTGCTGCTTTTTTTTTTTTCTTTTTTCTTTTCTTAGAAAAACAAGCTATCTGAGACTTGCCTGCTCTGACCCAACCTCCTGCCACCTCTCCCTTTCTATCATTACTTTCCTGGCTCTTATTTGATACCACCTGAGCCAATTACACCGAGAATTGCCTTAACTTTGGAGGTGAGCCTTGGGGTCCTGTTACATGGTGTTCATCAGGGTGGGGCAATCTCAAGCAAGGAAATTCTCACTGAGCTGATTTCCAAAGGTGGCAGATGCAAACTGTGGTCTCTGGCTGACCCTGGAAGTTAGGACTCCAGGGAGGAACTGAGCCATTTTCCTGGGAGCCTGCTGTAAGGCTCACACCTTTCACTCCACATGGAGGCTCATAAGGCCCTGGGCTCTCCTGGATTGCTTCCATCACACTTAAGTAGCTCAGTGACTTTCGAACCCCTGTTTTTTGGAGGGCCGTGTTAGCTTTTCAAAGCATAGGGTGTATGCTACAAGGGGGCCTCTGGGTTACTCCAGGAAGCCAGGGTTCCCACATTTTTATTTTAAAAACTATGTATTTAATATGCATTAAAAATTTCAACTAGAACAAACGTGATTTCAATATCGCTAGGTTAGGACAAAGCTAAGGGGAATATCAGGTTTTTCAAAGCACATCAATTTGAAGAACAGTATCAAGTGATATTCGAGATACAATGTGGTATTTGGAGGGACAAATCCCATAAAGGGCACAACCATTCCCTCCTCATGCCCAAGCCTTCTTGGCAGGAATCAGGCTAGGTCTTCCCTGCCTCAGCTTCTCCTGGTGTGTGCAAATATCCCCCATGTGCATCTGCGATTTGCTCACACTAAAGACAGCAAGAGGGTCATTCTGACCTATACTGACAACCTTAGAGCCTTGATTCTTCAGACAATCCATGTGTTGCCTTTGCCTTCACACCACACATGGATACTCTGATCCTTCTGTTATTTCATGTCTCTCTGTTAGCTTTTCCCAGCCACAGCTCTAAATACCTCAAAGTGAGCCTGCCCCATTCTTTCGCTGGGCGGGGGCTCAGGCCACCATACACGTCAGAGAAGCTAGGTGGTTGATGATGTTTTAAAAATACGTGTTATAAGCTTCTAAGCAATCCATCACCCAATGGCACTGCAAAGGCAACATCGCCCTCATCTAGGTGAGATAATCAGTTTCTCATTTATTTTCTGTCACTGAGGAGGGTGTCTGTCTAGGGATAATGACTGGAGGGGTAGATGGAGCACCCAGGGGACCCTGTGTCATTGGGTCATACTGATGTCCTGACTTGAGGAAGCTATTTGAAAGAAGACGTCTACAAAAGGATCCATTGCCACAAATTTTCCACAGATAGGATTATGGCCAGTTATTCATGAATTTTATTCATTCTGCTGTTTTAAAATGACAAGTCCAATTATATTTGCCCATGTCAGGTATATTGCTTTTACATTGTTTCAACCCAGTTTTAGGAACTTAATTTCAGAGTCATTGTCAATAGAAAATAAGTAGCAATCAAAACAAAATAAGTAGTCATTTCTGTGTACCTAACATCCAAAACGTGTCAGGTGGTATGCTTCCATGAAACAATCTTTACTCATAACAATTTTAAATTACATTATTTGGATTTTTAAGTGTGCTGGCAGGGAGGAGGGGTGGTACATAACTCCATCCCTGAATGCAAGTAACAACTCTGGGCATTTGAATACATTTGTTAATTAGCGCTTTTTATTTTTCTGATTATTTTTCTAAGTTTAAATTTTGCAAAGACATTAGCATTTCCAAATCTTTGGTAAGTATAATTTGAAAACAAAAAGCGTTTTCAAAAATTACCCAAGTTTAGTCATTATACAAACTTTGTACAGGGTAATTCATTTTTTTTTTTTAATTTATTTATGATAGTCACACAGAGAGAGAGAGAGAGGCAGAGACACAGGCAGAGGGAGAAGCAGGCTCCATGCACCGGGAGCCCGACGTGGGATTCGATCCCGGGTCTCCAGGATCGCGCCCTGGGCCAGAGGCAGGCGCCAAACCGCTGCGCCACCCAGGGATCCCCAGGGTAATTCATTTTTAAATGAGTCTTATTCAGTGTGTACCTCACCAAAGAGAGAAAGGGTACATAAAATGTCAACACCGGTTATCTCCAGCTAGAAGTATTACAGAACAGTGTGGTAAAACTGAGGCCTTTAAAGAAATGGAGCATAGTAACTAGAGAAATGAAAAACAGATGTAGAATTTATCCGATTTTTGTCACTAAGCCAAATAACAAATTTTGATTTTAAAAAAACTTTCATGCCAAAGATGTATCCCACACTTAAATGAATGAAAGCCCTACATACTATTCTGTTCCTGAAATTTCTACTCATTTCTTTGGACTCATTTATATTTTTATATACTGAGGAAAAATTTAAATATAACATATCCAGAGTCTAATCAAAACTGGAAAAAATCCTGAAATTGTAACAATCTGGAAAAAGGATTGACATGCATGTAAGGCAACTTTTGTGCTTGTGTTCTTGATTTTTAACTAATTTGCAGATGATCACTAATATACCTCAAGAAAGAATGTTCTCAGCAGTGGCGAGATATATTTTAACTTTGAGATGAGGGCCTAGAGCATATGATAGATTACAGAAGTCTGTTTTTTCCTACTTGCTTATAAGATAGGGCTGCGACTGTGGCTTTAATCTGGACTACTTTTTTTTTTTTTAATATTTTATTTATTTATGCATGAGAGACATATATATAGAGAGGGGCAGAGACACAGGCAGAGGGAGAAGCAGGCTCCATGCACCGGAAGCCCGACGTGGGATTCGATCCCGGGTCTCCAGGATCGCGCCCCGGGCCAAAGGCAGGCGCCAAACCGCTGTGCCACCCAGGGATCCCTAATCTGGACTACTTTTACTTCATTGTAGTTTTGACTGACAGTTTGGTAGTTTATAATTTAATGGATGTGATTTGAAAGCCAGTTACCTGAATGTGCCTAATTGTTGAGGCTAATAATAAGAATTATTAAAATAGCTCAAACATTTTGGGTATTTTGCTTCAGCATCTGCACGTTATGAAATATTTACTTTGATCTTTAAATGCATAGTTTCCACCATATTCCCAGCTCAAAAAGAAAGCACAGAAAACCAGCAAAGATGTGAAGTGCTCGTCTGTTCAGGTTTACAAACCACATAGTTAATTCTGTGTGACGATGCAGTTTAATTTTGTCTAATGAGTACTCAGGAATCTAATTTCAAGCAAAAACCTATCTTATATCTCTCCTGCGAATGTGAAGGTATGGTATTACTTTGCAAACACTTAAGACGACAGATGAAATTGGAATCAGGAGGCTCGTTTCCACCTGGCCTGTTAATTTATTCACTGGAAAGACTATTCATTTACATGAGGTTGGTTTTAACTGGTTTCAAAAAGTCAGCTTTTTCGGGTAAGGAGTAGATTTTGACATTGTCTTCCTAGGTGTTTTCTGCAATGAAAGTAAATAAATTCACATCCTTGAACTATTATTACTGTTATTATTTATTCATGCTGGAATCACCTGAGGAGTTTAATTTTACTCTTTTTTAAAGATTTTACTTATTTATTTCAGAGAGAGAGAGCAGAGAGAGTGCGCACACCAGTGTGGGGGGGGCGGGAGCAGAGGGAGAGGGAGAAGCGAGCTCCCCACTTGGGGAGGAAACCTGAAGTGGGGCTTGATCTCAGGACCCCCGTATCATGACCTGAGCTGAAGGCAGACACCCAACCGACTGAGCTACCCAGCCACCCCTCCTTGAATTATTTTTAAGTGATGAAATATTTCATTTTTAAAAATAATTTATTTATTTGAGAGAGTGTGTGAAAGAGAACATGGACAAGCAGAGGGGAGGGGTAGAGGGAGAAGCAGACTCTCTGCCAAGCAGTGAGTCCAATGTGGGACTTGATTCCCAGACCCTGAGATCATGACCTGAACCGAAGGCACATGCTTAACCAACTGAGCCACCCAGGTGCCCAAGTGATAAAATATTTCAAACATAAAGATGACAATAGGTGGCAACAAAACACCTGTGTACCTACCCCCTCCCTTTATCAATCTTGGCACTGCTTGTGTCAATTTGGTTGGGCTGTTGGTACCAGTCTTAGGTGGGTCTGAGATTTGGCGGGTAGGGGTGAAGCGATAGCCATGGTACTTTTATTATGGAAATCAGTAGGGGATGGTCACTTATTCGCTGACTCCCCTCCTTGGTGTGGGGCCCTCCTTCAGCTCTCATGTCCAGCTGTGTCTTTTCTGCTCTGACAAAGTACAGCAGCTTTTCCTGGAGAAGTCAGTTCACTTAGGTTGTTTCCGTACTATTGAGAATAATGCTACGGTGAAGAAGGAGTGCAGATCTCTCTTCTAGATAATTTTCGTTTCCCTTGGATACATTGCCACAAGTGGGATTGCTGGATCATATGGTAGTTCTATTTTTAATTTTTCTGAGTACCCTCCATACTGTTTTCCATAGTGACTGCACCAGTTTACATTGCCACCATCAGTGCTCAAGGGTTCTCTTTCTCCACATCCTGGCCAGCATTTCTTTTGTCCTTTCAGAAAACTGACCTACCAGGTGTGAGGTGATACCTCATTGTAGTTTTGATTTGCATTTCCCTGATGATGACTGATGTCAAGTGTCTTTCCATGTACCTATTGACCTTTTTCTTTGGAAAAATGTCTATTGAGATCTTTTGCCCATTTTTAAATTGGGTTATTTGTTTTTTTTTTTTTATTGGGTTGCATGAGTTTCTTGATATTTTTAATATTAACCCTCATAAGCTGTGTGGTTTGCAAATATTTTCTTCCATTCCACAGGTTAACTTTCCATTTCATTGATGGTTTCCTTTGCTGTGCAGAAGCTTTTTAGTTTGATTTACTCCCAATTGCTTATTTTTGTTTTTATTGCCTTTGCTTTTGGCATCAAATCTAAAAAATCATCATTGAGACCAATGTCAAGGAGCTTACCCCAGTTTTCATCTAGGAGTCTTACTGTTTTAGTCTTCACATCCAAGTAAAGATTTTAATTTTTCATTCAAACCTTTAATCCATATCAAGTTGATTTCTGTATATGGTATAAAAATAGATATCTAGTTTAATTCTTTTGCATGGGGCCATCCTGTTTCCCCAACACCATTTATGGAAGAGACTTGTCCTTTCCCTGTTGTATACTCCTGATTCCTTTGTCATAATTTAATTGACCATATATGCATGCATTTATGTTTGGGCTCTCAATTCTATTCCATTTGGTCTTTGTGTCTGTTTTTATGCCAGTAGTATAGTGTTTTGATTATTATTGCTTTGTAACATTGTTTGAAACAAACTTTGAAATACTGTTTAAATTATTTAACTGGTCTATTCAGATTTTCTACATCATTTCAGTCTTGGTAGGTTATACATCTCTAGCAAGGTCTCCAGCTCTCCTGTCATCTAATTGCTTGATGTGTAATTATTCACAGTAGTTTCTTATGATCCTCATTAGTTCTGTATTACCCATTGTCATGTCTTCTCTTTTGCCTCTGATTTTTGTACCTTTTTTTCATCTAGCTAAAGGTCTGTCAATCTTGTTTATTTTTTTCAAAAACCTACCTCCTCATTTCATTGATCTTTTCCGTTGTCTTTTAGTCTCTATGTCGTTTCTTTCCAATCTGATTTTTGGTTTTCCTCTTTTCCTACTAAATTTGGGCTTAGTTTGTTCTTCTTTTGTTAATTCCTTGAGGTGTAAACTTAGGCTGTTTGAGAGCTTTCTTTTTTATATATATTTTGTTTATTTATTTGAGAGAGAGCACAAGTGAGCACAGCAGAGGGAGAAGAAGCAGACTCCTTGCTGTGCAGCTAGCCTGGACACAGGGCTCAATCCCAGGATCCTGGGATGATGGACTGAGCCACCCAAGCACCCCCCCCTTCTCCCCCTTAATATAGGCACTTATCTCTATATACTTCCTTCTTGAAACTATTTTTGCTGCACTCAGTTTTTGCTATGTTGTTTTCATTCCCATTTGTCTCAATATATTTTTTGATTTTCATTTTTAAAAATATTTATTACTTATGTTATAATATATATTACTTATGTTATAATATATAACATAATATAATATAATATATATTGTTATAATATATTATATATTTTTTATTTCCATTTTTAAAAAATATTTATTATTATTATTATAGCCACTGGAGGGCGCTCTTGTCCTATTTAAAACCTGCTTTTTGCTATGGTGCTAGTGGGGCTCAGGAATGCCTGCTGGCTCTCAAAGCTAGGTAATTTGGGGGCCCATCCCTTGGGTGGTGACTGTAAAAGTTGGCATACTACATGTGTTGAAGGGAACCAGAGGGGAGGGAAAATCGGGTGTAGTGCCAACCAGCTATTTTGGGTTCTGGGAAGGATTGCAGCCAGTCCCTGAATGCGTGCTAAATTAGAAGCCAGACCCTCAGGCAACGGTTTGTTAAGTGTACAAATTCCTTCCAGGCGAAGACCACAGACAGACATTTCGCCTGCTCCCTTTGCACTGAGTTTAGAAGGGACTGCCATGGGGAGTGCTCACATGCCCATTAAGAACTACTTTGCTATATAGTCTTGTAGGTCTAGTAAATCCTAGTCCCACTGGCATTCAAAGTTAGGTGTTTTGGAGATGGGAGCTGTGGGTGGGGGTCTTAAAGGTTGGGGTGCTCGATGTACAATCCAAACCCAGGGAGAGGCTAGGAGTTGAGGGTTCCCTCCTAACTGTATGATGCTGTGCTTAGGTGGGCATTGTGGCGAGACCATGTCTCACCCTATTCTAACCCATTTTGATCTGGGTATTTCCTCATTTGACCGTGTAGGAGTCACTCAGCTTGTTTCTGGATTTCTCCCAGAAGGAATTGCTCTATGTATAGCTGTACATTCAGTGTGTTTGTGGGAATAGAGAAGTTCAGGGGCCTCCTGAGGTGGGGGGGTGGGGAATGCCAAAGCCCTACATGGGAAAGGAGTATTTGGTGCTCAATCCATACTAGTACCTCATCTTTATTTCTCTCTAGTCTTGTGGTCTTGAGTGTCAGGGTCCATCAAGGCCACAGCTACCTCCACTCTGTCCTGACTTTAAGGCTGCTCAGGTCTGGCTTTCTCTGAATTACTTCTATATATCAGTAAAACATTTGGCTGCTTCCTGCACCGAGTAGCAACCTACTGCCTAGACACTCATGAGGCTATGGTACCGTTGCTCGCATCATGCTTGACACAGAGGGAAACTCTGTGAGGCTTGCTACCTCCCCAGCTTCACAAGGAAGCAACTACACATTCTCTCTACTTTGAGGTCTCCAAAACCATCTAAGTGTCCATCATCACCACTCCTCCCACACCACGCCCATGTACAACCCGAGTGTGAGAGAGGGGGATGCATCAATATCTAAGCTTTTTTGCTTCCCGATTTGAAACTTAAAAATCTCTTTGATTTCTGGGTTTTTGTTTCACTTGGTTTTGTATCATCTGTTTCCTGTGGCAGTTAATTTAATTGATTGGGTGCAGAGGAGGCAAAGTCTACAAGGAAGTAGAAGTGTGCTGGGGAGAAAGGTTGACTAATATTCTAAAGTGCTCGTGCATCACATTTGCATAGTACTTTGTACTTTACAAAGTGTTTTCACTTGCACCATCTAGCTTAATTCTGCAATAACCTTGTGAGGCAGGTACTAACCTTATTTCGCCAAGGAGGAAACAGAGATTAAATAACATAAGTGATTAGTCAAAAGTCATTCAACTGATAAATGGCAAAACCAGAACTCAAATCCAGGTGTTCCAACGTCAGCCCTGGGCTCTTCCTTCAACCTTTCCAGAAGTATTTACTCAGGGCCAAAGGAGACTTCTTTATCTTGGAGTTTTCAAGTAACATGGAGTCACAAGGTCCTGGGCAGGTGCTTTAGGGTCCCCAAGGAAGATGGGACTGGTGGGTAGCACCTAGAAAAAGCCAGAAGGTACTCCTAGACCTCAGTCCTATCCCTTGGGCTCTCATTTAACCATGGTAGCTCTGCATCTATTTTATGTATTAGAACTCTCCATAGACTTTTGGGGGGATAGAAAGAGAGGAGAGAGGATTCTGTTACCTTAAAATATTTTAAAATTATTGCTTTAATACCAAAACACTGTATTTAGTGCAGAATTTCATGCAACAGAGCAAGTTAGCTGGGAAAGTGTTTCAAGGGCAAGTAACGACAACCATTTGTTGAATAATGATGAAGTGTTGGGCACTCTATATTCAATTCGTGGTCCCATTTAATTCTTTTTAAAAAAGATTTTATTTATTCATAGAGACACAGAGAGAGGCAGAGACATAGGCAGAGGGAGAAGCAGGCTCCCTGCAGGGAGCGGGATGGGGGTGCTCTATCCCAGGACCCTGGGATCAGCACCTGAGCCAAAGGCAAGTGCTCAACCACTGGGCCACCCAGGCGTCCCCCATTTAATTCTTAAAGCAAAATTCCTACTAGGCAAGCATTTGCTACTCATCATTTTACAAATATGAACTAGAGGCTGGAGAAAAGCTAGGTAACAGGTCCCAGGTTTCGCACTGTGCCAGGGACCAGGTTAGGATAAATACCCAGTCCAAATTCCAGTGCATCTCCTCCCTAAACATTAAAGTCTACTCTACCAGGTTGAATAAGAGGTCCTGTTCCTAAACTTCACCTGTGACCAAGGAGTCATCCTAAGGTCATCCTGAGGTCTTCTTGAGTTTGGCCAAGCAGGCAGCCATGCAAGGGCTCGGACTCCCAATACCAGAAGCCAGAAGTGACGAGCTGTTCCAACATGGCACAATCCATAGGGCTCAAAAGCAAGTGACTCCTCGATGCGAAGAAAGGACGATGCCCTGGTCGCCGAGGCCCGGGACGGGGCGCTCCGCGGGGAATGCCACGCTCTGCTCCCGCGTGGACCACAGAGGCCGCGCCCTCGCTTCTGCGCACAACCTTTCTCCCCAGAGCCACGGGAGCTGGGCTAAGACGCAAACCCCGTTGGTTAGGTTTGACCCAGCGGTCAGCTCAGGTCGCTCAAACAGGGATCAAAAAAGCCTATACACGCCAGGCGGGACCCTGTAGATGATGGAAGTGGGCAAATCGCCCAGCTTAATGCACCTCATCTTCCTTTGCGCCTTCACTCTCCCTTCTAAAAACAAAAAACAAAACAAAACAAAAAAAAACAACCTATGCCCGTTCTATTTTTCTTTAAATACTCAGCTCTCGCTTCAGCCAGGACACAAACCTGGGAACCACCAAACAAAAAAAAAGTTTCACTTTCACCTCCACTCTCAAACAAGAAGCACCTGTGGCAGAAACCAACGCAAAACGAACCCACACCGGGCCTCGCCAAAAGGGGATGCTGGGCGGCAGGTTCTCTTTCCGGGTCGGCGGCGACCATTTCCGGGGCGGCCGCGAGCGAGGCGGAAGTGCGGTCTCCTCAGGGCGGCTGTCTCTGGGCGGGCCGAGGGAGGCTCCCGAGGCTGGGGGCCGGGCCGGGATGGCGGCAGCGGCGGCCGGGGCCGGGGCCGGGACGGCCCAGGAGAAGCAGTTCCCGCCGGCGCTGCTGAGCTTCTTCATCTACAACCCGCGCTTCGGACCGCGCGAGGGCGAGGTGCGCGGAGCGGTGCCGTGGGCGGGTGCCAGCCGGCGGTCGGAGGAGGGCCGGAGGGCGGGGGCGGTGGCCGGCCGGCCGGCGTCGGAGCCGGAGAAGGCTGGGGGTGGGGCGCGCCCGGGGGAGGGGGGCGGGGGATACCGCGCAGCACCTGTCACTCCCCTCCCGGGCGGCTTTTTCCGAGGCTGCTTTGTGCCGGGCGTGCGCCCGCGGAACGAGTGGGGGCCGGGCACGGTGTCTGGACGGAGGCTCGGCAGGCTCATCACTCCACGCAGGGTGAGTGAGTTTCCGCGCTTCTGCGCCAATCCCGGGTAACTAAAATTGAGTTTATGTTTTTGTTAGTCCAAGTCCCGGACTAGAAGCATGGATGGAGAGTGGTGGCCTATGTGGTCCTAAGATAACTCAGGCCTGGAGGAGCATAGGAAAGTTTTGTGTTGTTTTTCCGAATTGCTAAATAAATTCCAGGGATGGGTTTTGTTTGTTTTTTAGGTGGGGACGGTGACTTCCCCAAAGGATGTCCGGTTGGGCTGGCAGCAAATCACATTTATTTATTATTTATTTATTATTTATTTATTTATCTAATGGGAGACACAGAGAGAGGCTGAGACATAGGCGGAGGGAGAAGCAGGCTCCCTCTGGGGAGCCGGATGGGGGACTCGATCCGAAGACCACCGCCCCCCCCCCCCATCACAACCAGAACCAAAGGCAGATGCTCAACCATTGGGCCACTCAGGTGCCCCTCAGGGCCCTTTGAAAGGCTCTGAGTTCTAATGCTCTTGAACCTGCTGAGTTTTACTCGCAAGGAGGCAGTAAGTCTGCACATGTGGGCACACGCTTTTTTTTTTTTTTTTTTTTTTTTTTTACAAATGGTGTTTTTTGCAAAATTAGTGTGAGGAAAGAAGGAAAGAAACTGTAAGATTGAGTTTTTCAGAGTAATTGTTTTGTGCGCCTCCAGAGGACTTGTGACTTAACTGTATATCACAATGGCCTTCCAGGCTGGTGAGCACCATTTACATATAGAGGAGAAGACAATTTTTGATTTTTCTGAAAAGGGTTTTTTGTTTTGTTTTGCTGCTGGCATGTGTGATGTGAGAGCTTGACATTGAACAGCATTTTATTTATTTATTTATTTATTTATTTATTTATTTATTTATTTATTTATTTATTTCACACAGAGAGAGAGAGGCAGAGACACAGGCGGAGGGAGAAGCAGGCTCCATGCACCGGGAGCCTGACGTGGGATTCGATCCCAGGTCTCCAGGATCGCGCCCTGGGCCAAAGGCAGGCACCAAACCACTGCGCCACCCAGGGATCCCTGAACAGCATTTTCAACAGCTGAGATGATTTTTTAAAAAATGCTCATGTTAATGTGATGATTTTGTTTCTCCATACTTTAGGAGGAAAATAAAATTTTATTTTACCATCCAAATGAAGTTGAAAAGAATGAGAAAATTAGAAATGTTGGATTATGTGAAGCTATTGTACAGTTTACAAGGTAATGCCCTTAAATGCAGAGCTCAGTAAGCTCAGTGAATTCTTACAACTTCGAGAACCGTCCCCCAACATTTTTTTTTTTAACCTTTTTAGGACCTTTAGTCCATCAAAACCTGCAAAGTCTTTACATACACAGAAGAATAGACAGTTCTTCAATGAACCAGAAGAGAATTTCTGGATGGTCATGGTACTTGCATATACAGTACATTTTTTTGAGTTTGTGTAGTGAGATTATGGGTGATCTTTTCTCTTAGGACTTTAGGAAAGTCCTCTAGCTATTGCAAAGTAAAATTACAATAAAGTTGGTTGCACATATTCAGTGTATGTGTTCTTGGGGCTGTTTTAAGAAGTTGTGTTTTTGGTGTTGTGACGTGCTCAGATTTTTTCATTTAAGAGAAAATTAAAAACTTATGTAATTGGGTCACTGTGTAATTTCGTCCTATCAAAATTTTGTAGGTTGTTCGGAATCCTATAATTGAAAAGCAAAGTAAAGATGGAAAACCAATTGTTGAATACCAAGAGGAGGAGTTGTTGGTAATGTGTCATTCTTTGTTTCATATTTTTAGAAAATCTGTTAAAATCTGTTACTGAATATGTTGAGTGACTTGGTCAAATTTAAGCAGTCACTTTTGTAGAAGATTCTGAGGTTCTGCATAGTGACGTTTCATATCTGTTTACATTAGCACAGTTGTATAAAAATCTGTATCTTGTCTCCCTAGTGTCTTCTAATCATCTTTTTATAAGCCCTCCTAAAATTAGGCTTACTGGTTCATAACTGAATTTAAATACATCTTACTGTCAGCACACAACTGTTGTGGGTCCAAGCTTATAAGCACTATATTGCGTTGCCAAGAGTCATTGTACATTTGCTATGCTGTGGACTTTTTCCCCCTTGAATTGAGATCTGTGTCTTTATGCTTGCAGGACAAGGTTTATAGTTCAGTGTTACAGCAGTGCTATAGCATGTACAAGGTAAGCATGAAGTTCTTTCTGAATTGAGTCTAGCCAGTTACCCCTGTTTACAGGGATTGTTTCAAAATCTTAGTTCTTTAGATGACTGTGTGGTGACTATATCTATTTTAAGGGAAGAAATAATGGGGCCTTTGAAACTGCATTGAGATTTATGTATAGACTTATTCACTGAGTAGTGAGTCTTTCTCTGTTCCTAGCAGTACTAGGAATGTATCCCAGTTGAGAGTCCATATGCTTGAGGAAAAGGCATACTGTAGATATTTGTATGATTTAAGAAGTCTGGCAATATTATTTACATAAAATGAAATTTAGTTATGAGATGAGGTTACAAAAAAAAAAAAATGCGGGGTGCCCAGGTAGCTTAGTTGGTTAAGCATCTGACTCTTGATCTCAGCTCAAGTCTTGATCTATCTCAGGGTCATGAGTTCAAGCCCAGTGTTGGTCTGTATGCTGAGCATGAAGCTTACTTTAAAAAAAAAAAATCTCCCAAATGATTCAGTGATTACACAGAAATGATATCACTTAACAGTGTTGATTTTGTGTGTGATTTATTTTATAACTCAGGCCCTTTCATGTAAATATTTTCTATATGTTTAAAAGGAATGGGGTGGGGGGTTAAATAAGCCAAATTAGTTAATCTAAAAGGAAAAGAATTTGTTATACTGGTAAATTGCAGGGTATAAGAAACTGACTTTTAAAAAAATTTTTTTGCATCATTAGCTTTTTAATGGTACATTTCTGAGAGCCATGGAAGATGGAGGTGTCAAGCTCCTAAAAGAAAGATTAGAGAAATTCTTCCATCGGGTAAGTATTATGAATTTTATTTATAATCTTTGTAGTCTTCAAAAAGACTTTTAGAAATAAACATACAATTTTGCTTCTCCTTTAGGAAAAACTTAGGACTTGAAAGTGACAAAGTGTAAGATACATTGTGGCAAAATCAGATCAGTGAGAAAACTCTTTAGGCTTGCATTCTTGAATCTTTTCATAACTTTTTGTGCAGGATCAGAGCATCCTGCCGTTTGTGTGCATCCCCACATCATCTTGGAGACACCTCTTGTCTTCTTTTTTTTTTTTTAATTTTTTTTTAATTTTTATTTATTTATGATAGAGAGAGAGAGGCAGAGACACAGGCAGAGGGAGAAGCAGGCTCCATGCACCGGGAGCCCGACGTGGGACTCGATCCGGGGTCTCCAGGATCGCGCCCTGGGCCAAAGGCAGGCGCCAAACCGCTGCGCCACCCAGGGATCCCTACACCTCTTGTCTTCATCCTTGGTCCACCTGTGTCGTTAGTGTGGGCTTACTCAAAATGAATTTCCTGCATGATGATTGGTCAATTAACTGAATTTAAACTCTTTACCTGAATCATACATTCTTATGGATTGATTATTGTTCACTGAGCAGTATTGTTTAATCTGTATTGATGCAACGGAAAAGTTATTGCTGTGATATAGACTTTATCACCTTAGTGGTTATTAGCGTGATTTTTCCCGAACAATAAATGAATGTGCCTATATAGTTGTCACTCTGTTACACTGTAAGTTTTTTATAGCTTATCACTGGTAAAATTCAGTTTAGCTTAGAGGAATAATTCTCAATTTATTTTTTCCCCTAAACTACATTTTCTCTGTTTTTGAATTATTTTGTTTTTATGAATTACTTTTTTTTCCTCTTTGTTTCTTCATTCTAATGACCATCATTTACTCTTATGCTGTCTCCTGACTTCTGTCCTTGCCTTTTTATTACTCTCCTACCTATCAACTACTGACTGCCTGTGCTCTCAGTGTTATTTTTGCAGAAGATGGCACTGTTAGTGCATATCAATGTATAGGTCCCTAATGAGATTAATATAATTTGAGAATCATTCATTTAGGGAATTAAATACCTCAAAGAGATAAGACAATCCTGAATAAATATTAACAGTTTACGTTTGAACTTTATATTTTGAAATTGGTATTGATTTCACATCCAGTTAGCTGTGGCTCATCTGCTTATTGGTCTTGTCAGTGTGCTAGTATGTAATCTTATCCTAAATTGACTAATTATTCTCCGCTTTCAGAGTGCTATATTCAGTGTACTCTTAGTAAGTTTAACGCCTTATTTTTTCCTACAGTACTTGCAAACGTTGCATTTGCAGTCATGTGATCTCCTTGACATTTTTGGTGGAATCAGCTTCTTCCCATTGGATAAAATGACTTATTTGAAAATCCAGTCCTTTATTAATAGAATGGAGGAAAGCCTGAGTATAGTCAAATACACTGCCTTTCTCTATAACGATCAACTAATCTGGTATGTACACCCTAAGGCTTGGCATATAAAAGAAGAAAACCTATTAAGATAATAAAAACAGCAGTGACTGGATCGATAGGTTGTCAAATTGGAATGAATAGCAAGGGGGCAAGGTAGGAAGCATCTTTACAGATGCTGTCAAAATAAAGCAGTGATCATTTAAACTAAAAGTAGGGTGATTTGGGTTAAAAAGACAAAAGCAGGGGAATTTAAAATTGGTTGCATGAAAGGTATAGAAAATGTTCATGTCAAGTTAAGTTTAGGGATCCTATTTTTATTTGGGTGTTCTTCGGAAAACTTCTTTAAAGAAACTATAATAAATGTGGAAAGCATACTTTTCATACTTTATTTTCAAGCTAGATTTTTAAAAATATCCAAGAAGTTAAATGTGCCATAAAACCAGAAAGTTACCTACTGGCAACCAACTGTGCATCCTGTAGTAGGAACAAAAACATAATTTCTTTGGAAGTGTTGATACTCAAGAAGAAAGGAGAAACTACACGCTCTCAGCTACCCAGGACAGCTCTAGAAAAGCCATGTGACCATGACCATATAGAGGCTGTGTGGCTCAGAGACGTCCAGAGCCCCCTGATTGTCTGAGATGGGCTCCTAGAGTTCAGGATCTGTTCCGGGTGCTCACTAGTGTTGAGTTTTCACGTTTACATGGACTGTATCCCACTTTCTGCAGTTCAGGTTGTGGCCGTATTTGAGCCCAAAAACTTGAGTTCAGCTAACACAAAAGGCAATAATGGTTTCTGGAAACCCTTCCTCTCCCTGCCAAGATCTTGTGGCATCATTTTAGGAAGAGAAATAGGCTAATCGAAAGAAATTTGAATCCGTTTATTAAACACGTTGATGAGTTTTCATGTAGAATTTGTGTGTGCGTCCTGTCCCCCCCCCCCCCCCCCATGAAAGCAGCATGAAACCCAGATGAAAAAGCCCTTCCCTTCACATTTAACAAGTTGTTTAGCAGGACACATGATGCTATATTAGCTGGTCCTGTTCTAGTTGCTTTTTATAATTTTCACTCTATGGTATTCAAATGAGATTCTTAATGCTGTTGTGAGAGGTGGAAGAGTTAACACAGGGTTGGAGGGTGTCAGGTCTGAGGAGGGAGCAGCCCTCCACAGGCAGAAATTCCAGGGAGGTGCTGCTGGGAAGGCTTTCCCCTTTACCCCCCTACCCCCATTCCCCCCACCCCAGTGAGGAGACAGACATGCTAGAATTCCATGGCAGTCCATGACCTGGGTGCTCCTGTTAGAGGAAGGTAGCTCAGATTCTAATCGCCTGACATAGCATAAGCCCTGATGTGGGCATGAACCCGGGGTGAGAAAGGGTACAGGCCTAGAGCATGAGGGTCCCCCTCAAAGTCAGCAGCTTCTGCTGAGAGGCCGATGAGCCAGTAGGACCAGTGGAGTTGAAGTCTGGAAGCCTGAGCTCACAGGGCTGCGTGTTGCCCTAGTCCTAGGGATCCTGTTGGCCTCTTTGTCTTTGTGAAGGACAGCCCCTGGAGTTAAGCTGTGCCCAGCTCCGATGGCTGCACAGCGCGGCTTTGGGATCCCACCACAATATGCAGACAGGGCAAGGTTGGCCCCAGGCAGTCATCATAAGGAGGAGTTTCAAAAAAAAACCAACATATTGTGGGAGGCAACTGTTAGTTACAAAGCTGCTCTGTTTAAATACCAATGAAGTATTTTATATTTCACGAATAGGATATATATTTGTTCTTAATTGCTTACTATTATATATGTGTGTACATGTGCCCATGTGCACGTGTTTAATTTTGAATGCTTTGTGAGGTGGAGCTCAATGTTTTTTTTTCCAACCATTTTAATTTTTTTCCTCATGATAAATATACTCTTTAATCCCATCCCCTAACCCCCCACCCCGCCCGTAACCATCTGTTTGTTCTCTGTAGTTAAAACTATGTTTCTTGGTTTGTCTCTCTCTTTTGTCCTTTGCTCATTATTTTTTTAAATTCCACAAGTCAAGTCATATGGTATTTATCTTTCTCTGACTTATTTCACTTAGCATTGTAGTCTTTAGTTCTATCCATATTGCTGCAAATGGTAAGATTTCATTTTTTATGACTAATACTCTCTCTCTCTATATATATATATATATATTTATATATGCCACATCTTTATTCATTTACCTATTTACGGACACTTGGGCTGCTTCCATAATTTGGCTATCGTAAATAATGCTGCTATAAACATGGAGGGGGGTACATGTATCCCTTTGAATTAGTTTTTTTTTTTTTTTTGTATATTTTGGATAAATATCCAGTAGTACAATTGCTAGATCATAGGATAGTTCTATTTTCAATTTTTCTAGGCACCTCTGTACTGTTTTCCACAGTGGCTGTATCGCCACCAGTTTGCATTCCTAGCAACATTTCATAAGGGTTCCTTTTTTCCCCACATCCTCATCACCACCTGTTGTTTCTTATGTTGTTAATTTTAGCCATTCTGACAAAATTACCTCATTGTAATTTTGATTTGCATTTCCCTGATGATAACTCATCATGAGCATCTTTTCATGTGTCTGTTGGCCATCTGGACATCTTCTTTGGAGAAATGTCTGTTTATATCTTTTGCCCATTTTTTAATTGGATTATTTGTTTTTTGGGTAATGAATTATATCAGTTCTTTATATAGTTCAGATATTAATCCTTTATCGGATTTGCAAATATCTTCTCCCATTCGGTAGGTTGCCTTTTTTATGGTTTCCTTCACTCTCCAGACACTTTTTATTTTGATATAGTCCCAATAGTTTATTTCCCTTGCTCTAGAAGACATATCTTGAAAAATGTTGCTACAGCTGATGTCAGAGACATTACTGCCTGAGCTCTCTTCAAGGATTTTTATGGTTTCAGGTTTCACATTTAGGTCTTTAGTCCATTTTGAGTTTCTTTTTGTGTATGGTGTAAGAAAGAGGTCCAGTTGCATTCTTCTGCATGTTGCAGTTAGTTATGTTTTCCTGACACCATTTGTTGAAATGACCATCTTTTCCCCACTGGATATTCACTCCTTTGGTGAAGGTTAATTTACCATATAATTGTGGGTTTATTTCTGGAGTTTCTGTTTTATTCCACTCATCTATATGTCTGTTTTTATGCCATTACCATACTGTTTTAATTACTACTGTGTTATAATGTAACTTGAAATCTGGAGTTATGATACCTCCAGTTTTGCTTTTTCAAGATTGCTGTGGCTATTTGAGGTATTCTGTGCTTTCATACAGATTTTAGGATTGTTTGTTCAAGTTTTGTGAAAAATATTGTGGATGTTTTGATAGGGATTGCATGAAATGTATAGATTGCTTTGGGTAGTCTAGACCTTTTTTTTTTTTTTTTAGTCTAGACATTTTAACAATATTTGTTCTTCCATTCGATGAGCATAGAATATCTATTTGTGTTGTCTTGAATTTCATCAGTGGTTTATAGTTTTCAGAGTCTTGGTCTTTTACCTCCTTGGTTAAATTTAATCCTAGATATTATATTGTTTTCAGTGCAGTTGTAAATGCAATTCTTTTCTTAATTTCACTTTCTTCTTATGTATGGGAAAAGAACAAATTTTTGTAGATTGATTTTTGTGACTATTGAATTAATTTATCAGTTCTGATAGTTTTTTGGTGTTTTTTTAGGGTTTTCTACATATAGTGTCATGTCATCTGCACGTAGAGTTTTACTTCTTCCTTACCAACTTGGATGCCTTTTTATTTCTTTTTTGTTATCTAATTGTTGTGGCTAGGACTTCCAGTACTATGTTGAATAAAAGTGGTGAGAATGGACATGCTTGTCTTGTTCCTCACCTTAGAGGAAAAGCTCTCAGTTTTTCCCCATTTTTTTAAAAATATTTTATTTATTTATTCATGAAAGAGAGGCAGAGACATAGGCGGAGAGAGAAGCGGGCTCCCTGCAGGGAGCTCAGTGCAAGACTCCATCCCAGAATTGCAGGATCCTGCCCTGAGCCCAAGGCAGATGCTCAACCACTGAGCCACCCAGGCTTTCCTCAGTTTTTCCCCATGAGTATGATGTTGGCTGTGGGTTTTTCCTATATGACCTTTATTGTGTTGAGATACGTTCCTTCTAAACCTACTTTGCAGAGGGTTTTTATCATGAATAGATGTACTTTGTTGAATGCTTTTTCTGCATCTATTGAAATTATTATGTGGTTTTTATGCTTTTTCTTATTGATGTGATGTATCACGTTGTTTTGTGAATATTGAACCACCTTTGCATTCTGAGAATAAATCCCACATGATCATGGTGAATGATTTTTTTAAGTATATTATTGGGTTCAATTTGCTACTTGTTTATATTGTTTTGAAATTTTCTGATTGAAGTTAGAAACTCTTATCTGTCCCAGGACATGGCCAGAACCTTATAGACTGTAGGTACTTGGTAAATGGTTGTGAGCTTAAAGCAAATAATTAGTAGAAAATATCTTCTAGGTTCTTGACTTTGTTGCATTTAATGGATGGATTTGGTTTTGCAGTGACCATGATAGGATTAGACATTATTGCTATTTGGTAGGAGGATGTCAGTCATTTTTCTTGTCCAGAGTTCTTGGCCTGTTTTTTGAGAAAAAAAATTTGTTTTAAATATTTTTTTATTTATTCATTTGACAGAGAGCATAAGCAGTGGGAGGGGCAGAGGGAGATGGACAAGCAGACTCCCTGCTGAGCAGGGAGCCCAACACAGCTTGATCCCAGGACCCTGGGATCATGACCTGAGCCGAAGACAGATGTTTCACCAACTGAACCATTCCCTGAGAGAATTTTCTTTTTAGTGAATTGATTTACCTTCCAGGGGTTAATGCTTCTATGAATAAATGTTTTAGGTATTTCTTAAGTTCATCAAAGTTGACCATCCCCTTGGATCTTGCTTGACTAGATTATTTTATATTTAATACATGACGATAGCATCTGTATTGTAGACAAAACTGATCTTGATATGAAGGATTCTGCATTGCACACAAATTGGATCAATTGAGATTTAAGCTGAAGAAAAAAAATTTTTTTAAGAAAAAAATTATTCGTATTAAATAACCATATTTGAGAGACTTTGAGAGAACCCCTGAACAACTTCTGAACATGAGTGGGCTATTGTCTGTGTGATGTGAACCATTGATGGAGTCCTGAATCATTTGGACCTGTCAGTGCAGGGATTTTTTGCTTTATTTATTTATCTATTTGCACTAAAGAAGGAACTTTTAAATTTACCTTTTTTTTTTAAAGAACTTTGCTCCAATAGTAACATTTTCCATAATTATAATGAATTGTTGCCTCATTTATTTTTATAGGGGAGCAGAAGTAGGGATAGGAGTGGCAGACACTGGAGAGAGGCCTGCTGTGGTCCGAGCTCATGGAGATCCTACAAGTAGGGCAGGCCTTTCTGTAGGCAAAGTGGGAATCACCTACTTGGGGTTTTTTTTTGCTCTGAACAGCTGCCTGCAACTTAGTATTTTTATTTCTATTTTATTTATTTTTTTAAAAGATTTTATTTATTTATTCATGATAGACATAGAGAGAGGCAGAGACACAGGCAGAGGGAGAAGCAGGCTCCATGCTGGGAGCCCGACATGGGACTCGATCCCGGGACTCCAGGATTGCGCCCTGGGCCAAAGGCAGGCGCTAAACTGCTGAGCCACCCAGGGATCCCAAGTATTTTTATTTTTAAGTTTTCTATCCAGAAGACCAGTACCAAGTTATTTAATGCCTAGCATTAAATCTGAAGTAAAATGATAAAGCCCTAATCACAATGCACAGTAGAACAGTTACAGGCTGCTTTTACAGAGTTTTTTCTTCTTGGTGTCCTATGGCCTAGAACAGCACCGTCCAGTAAGAATCTAGTGCAGGGGCCTCTGGGTGGCTCAGCTGGTTAAGCATCCAACTCTTGATTTCAGCTTAGGTCATGATCTCAGGGTTGTGAGATCAAGCCCTGTGTTGGGCTCTGTGCTCAGCAGGTGTCTGCTTGGGATTCTGTCTCTGCTCCTCCCACTGCCCCTCTCCCTGCTCACTTGCTCACACCCTCTCTCTCAAATAAAATCTTAAAAAGAATATAGTCCAAGCCATTATATATAATTTTAAGTTTCCTAGTAGCTATGTTCAAATGAAAAGAAACTAGTAAAATTAATGTTTTAGCCTAGTATACCTAAAATTATTTATTTCTTTTTTTTTTTTTAATTTTTTTTTATTTATTTATGATAGTCACAGAGAGAGAGAGAGAGGCAGAGACATAGGCAGAGGGAGAAGCAGGCTCCATGCACCGGGAGCCCGACGTGGGATTCGATCCCGGGTCTCCAGGATCGCGCCCTGGGCCAAAGGCAGGCGCCAAACCGCTGCGCCACCCAGGGATCCCTAAAATTATTTATTTCAACATGTAAAAGCTTAAATTATTAATGAACTATTATAAATTTATTACTTGGACATGTAAACATAAATTATTAATGACCTGTTCTTTTTGTGCTAAATCTTAACAATCAAATGTATGTTTTACACTCACTTTGATGAGCCACATGTCCCACATTTAGTAGCCAGATGTGCCCAGTAGCTTCTCTTACTGGAAGTGCAGCTCCAGAAGAAATTGCCCAGCACATAGTTCTTTATGTACTGTCTTCTACCTATCATCGACAGCCTCTCCCCACTAGTACTTCTGACTATGTCTTAAAAGGAAGATAACATCCGGAACCTGTTTTGTTTTCCTCTTTCTCTCCTTACCTCCATTATTTCTGCAAAAGAAGAAAGTGGGTGACTTTTCATGTGTTTGATTTGGAGATTCCATCTGCCCAGTTGGCTATATGGTACTTTGAGTTAGAGTTGTTGTAGGACAGACAAAACAAACCTGCTTAAAGGGCTAGGGCTCCATCCCTTATAATTTTAGTTGTGGACAAGACCTTATGAAAATAGAATCTGGAAAGGAGTGAGGTGGCAGAGGAAGGGTTGAGACAGCATTGGAAGTGTCTCAGGAAGGGAGCAGCATGTTATTTGTTAAGGAAAGCCAGATTTTTCTAACAGATGGTTTCACTAGGAAAAGAAGAGAGTGCCTCTGGAATATGGTATAGAGGCTTGATTTATATAAAGCTGGATTTCATCACGGGATTTTTTTTTTTTTTAAGTTATCTCAAATAGAAAAACCAGACACAGACTCATGGTCTGTTTATATCCCTACCTAGAAAACTGATCTCAAATAAGGTCTGAGGCCTGCTGGTGTCTCAGCACTGTTTCCACAGTGCTACTTATTCTTGCCTCATTTCAGATTAGACTTACGTGAAAGTTTGTCTCTTTCTCTTCGCCTCTCTGCCTGCACTGAGGTCATAGAATGAAAATCCACATAAGTTTCTGAGACCTGGCAGGAGCAAGTTCCCCATCTACAGCATGCCAGTATTTCCCAGGAGGCTCTTGAAAGTGTATGGCATTCTCATATAGCCTGGAAAGCAAAGAAAATCTACCTGAAGTGGAGCGTGGTGGTTATTAATGCTCCCTGAAGAATCCTATATGGAATTCAAGCAGAGAATGAAGTCAAACCAAATCAGACCAGTGACTTTTTGTTTAAAATGGCATATAGAATACAAGATGACATAGTAGTAGCCTTTGGTGGATCAAGATAGAATGCTGGTGCCAAACTAGTTTGATTTTGGAATTTCCCAGTCAGGGAAAGGACTTCTGGGTATAACGTAAACAAGACAAAAGAGGAGTTTTATTATGATCAGAAATACAGGAGACGGAAGACCGGTTCCAGGCTTTTTAACACCATTTTTTTCTGATGTTTCAGGAGTGGGTTAGAACAAGATGACATGAGAATTTTATACAAATACCTCACCACATCTCTGTTTCCAAGGCATATCGAACCTGAGGTATGTCCAGGCATTAGTTCTGCTCCCCCTCCACCCCAACACCTCTGTCTGTGTCTATATGTATGTATGTTATTTGTATGGGAAGTATGTGGTGCCTCTAGGTGTCCCATGAGGTGGTCATTGCCTAACATACATTAACCACATGGGAAATTTCGATTATTGCTATTCAAGGAACTAAAGCAGTATATTGAGTTGAGAATATGATGAAGTTCTGATCATTCTGGTTCACATCAGTGCATTCTTTATGTACCTCTTGTAATCCTCCCTCCCTTTTTTTGGTGGAGAGGAATATGAGCAAATGATACAGGAAAATGGCATGGAGCCAACTAGAAGATATGAATGTTGTTTTCAAAGCTTTGAAATGAGAAAATCTAATAATCTATTTCTCAACATTGAATTTGTTTACAGCTGGCAGGAAGGGATTCTCCAGTAAGGGCGGAGATGCCAGGAAATCTTCAACATTATGGAAGGTAGAACTTCTGTTCTTTGATGTATGGTATTGAATTTTATTATCTTTTTTGGCAATGGTAAAAATCATCAACACTGAATTACCTTTGTGCTATTTATTGGCAGTAGTCAGTAAAGGGAATTCTGTTGTTTCCAGTGAATTAAACTTTATCATACTTTGATTTGGTGTTTTCAAAGTGGTGTCTAGCTTCCAAAAAAAATGAATATAAAGTGGGAATATGTTCTGTTTTATATATTCCTGTTTATCATTTACCTAATTGAATTATTTCCATGCTTATTTTTCAGATTTCTTACTGGACCCTTAAACCTCAATGATCCAGAAGCAAAATGCAGATTCCCCAAAATTTTTGTAAATACAGATGACACTTATGAAGCACTGCATTTAATTGTTTATAAGGTAACAACTGTTTTTCCTGCCGGTGTTACAGATTAGTACAAAAGCAAATCTTTGTTGCACGTGTGCACAAGTGTGTGCGCACCTACATACCTCTCAGATATTTCTCAGAACAGATATTAAAAGTTCTAATTGCTGTAAAACTCAAAATGCGTGCTCCTCTGGAACAGTGGGTTTACTTTCAACCCCTTGTCAATTTTTGTTGGCTAGTGAAAGAATCACTCTGACACTGTCTGAGGCTGTGCCTCAGAAACATTTGAAGTCCTGTGTGCTCATCAATTAGAGGCCATCAAAGATTGTGTTGCTTGTCATTAGATGCCTTCTGATATGGGCCTGGCCACACGTCAGTGAATGCTGCTTTCACGGGTTAGAAAGCCAAGGACTTGCTGATTCTTTTTTTTTTTTTTTTTTAAGATTTTTTAATTTATTTACTTGAGACAGAGAGATACAGAGAGAGAGCACAAGCAGAGGCAGAAGCAGGCTCCCTGCTGAGCCAGGCATCTGATGACGGGCTTGATCTCAGGACTGGGAGATCACGACCTGAACTGAGGGCAGATGCTTAACCATCTGAGCCACCCAGGTGTCCCAAGACTTGCTGATTTATAATCTCAGTTATAACTCAGATATGTTAGATTGATTTTTCAAAAGGTGGGTTTTGGTTCAAGAAAAGGCTAATAAGCATGTGTATTTATCTTCTTCCCCACTTGAGAGTATAATTATGTTTTAATTTCTAAAGGCCTAGAAATGAGGGCATGAGAGCACAGAGCAGAGGTGAACATCAGATTACAAGGGATCTGTCTCTCCCTGGAAGGCAGAAAAGGGGACGATGATGGATGAAGTGTGGCCAAGGACATGAGTGGACAGGGTGCAGTGAGGCAAGAGCCCATTTGCTGCCACAGAAGCCCAGAGAAGCTCTTGGCTTGGAGACAGCACCAAAGGGGGCAGGAGTGTGAAGTGAGCTTGGAAAGAAGGGGAGTAAGTGAAGTGTTATATAGAAACCAGCCAGGCACCCCTTTTCCCATCCTTATACACACACACACACACACACACACACACACATACACACACACAGGCAGCTGAGCACCTATCCCTGGGTGAAAGTCAAGGGTCCTTTCAAAGAAAAACAATCCAGGGAGTCCTAGCTCAGCTAGAGTATGAGCACCTGAGAACAAGTGGTGATTGTGGGTGCTCATAGGACTTCTGCCCTCATCCTGGACCCAGTACAAAGCCTCCCTCCCTGATGTGTTTGGAAAAATAAAACTGTAGATCTTGAGAGAAACAAAAATAACTCTGGAACAGAGAGAACTTCTAAAAATTAGCATCCACAGAGATCAGAGAAGTGTATCTATAGGACTGAAACAGGAGGACATCAAAGAGTCAGGGTTAGAGTAAACTCAGGTTAATTGAAAACATAATTGTTCCAATTATTTATTGGTGCAAGATATACATAGCATAGAACTTGCCATTTTAACCACTTAAGTGACATTTAAGTTATATTCACAGTATTGTACAACCGTCACCACTGCCTGTTTCCAAAACTCGTCTTCACCCCAAATTCTATACTTATTAAACGATAACCCCCCCAGCCTGTCTCCTGAAAATAAAATTTTCGACAAGAGAACCCTTGATCAGAAGGGTTCAAGATAAGTTGCCCTTCCTCAGATATAAGATAAAATGACAAGAGATGAAAATATGGAGAAAAGATGGGGGAGCGGGATCTCGACATCTGATTCACGGAAAGTTGGAGGAGAGGAAATTATTCAGGTGTATGATGAGGATACGTCTAGCAAAGGCCCACTGAATGTCTCACACAGTGAATCAAAAAGACCCACTCCAACCCACACAATTGGCAGTTTCAGAAGCATAAAGAGAAGATCCCAGAAGCTTTCAGAAGGAAAATCAGGTCACCTGTAAATAAAAGCGGCATTAGCAGCAGTTTTCTTACAGGCAGCAGATGTTAGGGAAGGAAAACTTCCAAAGTTCCGAGAGAGAATGATTTTCAGTGTAGAATTCTTTGCTGAGCCAAACTATTCCATCACAGGTGAGATGGAAGAGAGGTGTGTTAATGGTAAAAAGTCTCAGGTTACTTCGTGCATCTGTCCTTCGGGTTTGTGTGGTGTTGCGGGTGAGAATCAGGAAACAATGAATGAGAACACTTTAGAATCCGCAAGAGTGGCCCTAACCCATGAAATAGTAAGAGGAAGGCTTGAGGTGCTAGAGCTCCAGGTCTGTGATGAAGTTAGCACCTCAGTGACTCCTGCAGTGGAACAGAGGAAGGGGGCTCTGCTCTGGGTGCCCAGGCTTCAGAACAAATAGATGTTGCATTCATAAAATAGTCTGTGAGATTTGAGTAAATGTTGAGGGAATGGCACAGGAGGACAGAATTCCAGGGAAGTTGTACAGATGTGTCTGAAAATGAGCCATAACTGAGGTAGGGAGAAATCCAATTCTGTATCAAGTTCAGAATCCTCTGAATGACTCAGGGGAATGACTTTGAAGCCAAGTGGAAGAAATACCCTGGTACACTCTGTTGTTTATTGAATTTCCATTTTTAGAGTCGATCAATAGAATTTTTTTTTTTTATGACAGTCACAGAGAGAGAGAGAGAGAGAGAGGCAGAGACATAGGCAGAGGGAGAAGCAGGCTCCATGCACCGGGAGCCTGACGTGGGATTCGATCCCGGATCTCCAGGATCGCGCCCTGGGCCAAAGGCAGGCGCCAAACCGCTGCGCCACCCAGGGATCCCCGATCAATAGAATTTTTAATAGGATGATGGCATCACAGTTATTTAAAAAAATTTTTCAAAATAGCTTGAGATGTAATTTACATACTGTATAATTAGCGCCGTTAATGTATTCAGTTCAGTGGTTTCTAGCTGCAAAGTGCAAGGGTCCCCAAGACCACTCCTTGCTCCTGACCCACACTCGCTCAGGAGTCCCCAAGACCACCCTCGCTCCTGACACTGCTAGCTCAGAGGCCCCCAGGACCATTGGGCCCACAAGTTCACTAGAGGCACTCACAGGACTCAGAGAAGCCAGTACACTCCCAGTTACAATTGATTACAGCAAAGGAGTACAGATGAAAAATGGTCCAGGGAAGAGGCACCTGGGGCAGTATCCAAGGGTCACCCAGCACAAGCTTCTAGATGTCCTCTCCTGGTGAAGCTGTGCAGACAGCACAGGGCCTGTTTCTCCCAGCAGTGACGTGATGTGTATGTAGTATGAACATCCAGGGAAGCTCACAGGAGCCTTAACATCCAGGGTTTTTACTGGGTGGTGGCCACACAGATGCACCTGACTGCCCGTGTCACTGGCCTTAGTCTCCAGCCCTCCAGTGGCCTGCTGATGCCTGTGGGCTTGGGGCCTGAAGGGATGTTGGCCTCTGTTTTTTTCCTTTCGAAGTTATGGTCTGGTTTTGGTATCAGAGTACTACCAGCCTCAAGCTAAGTTGGGAATTGTTTCTTCCTTTCCTGTTTTTTGGAAGAGCTTGTGAAGGATTGTTGTTAATTCTTTTAATAATTCACAGTGAAGCCATCTACATCTGGGCTTGTCTTTGTTGGAAACCTTAACATTGTGAAAGAGTCTCTGTACTTATTCTGTGCCTTATTGTCTATTTCTTCTTGAGTCCGTTTCAGTTGTTTGTGTCTTACTAGGAATTTGTTTTGCTTTTGAGTTGTTTCATATAGAATTTTTCATAGTATTATAGCCTTCAAATCCCTTTTTCCCCCATAAATCAGTAGTGATGTCTCCTCTTTAATCCCTCATTTTAGTGATTTGTGTCTCCTCTCCCCCCCCATTTTTTAAAAAATAATTTATTTATTTATTTATAGAGACACAGAGAGAGGCAGAGACATAGGTAGAGGGAGAAGTAGGCTCCTCGCAGGGAGCCCAGTGTGGGACTCGATCCCTGACCCCAGGATCACGCCCTGAGCAGAAGGCAGCTGCTCAACTGCTGAGTTGCCCAGGTGTCCTGTGTCTCCTCTCTTTATGCCTTGGTCTAGGTGGTCTAGCTAAAGGTTTTTCAATTTTGCTTATCTTTTAAGAGAACCAACTCCTGGTATTGCTTTTTTTATATTGTTGTTCTCAATTTCATTTATTTCTGCTCTGATCTTCGTTATATTCTTCCTTCTCTTGCTTTAGGTTTAGTTTGCTCTACCTTTTTTCCAAGTCTGAGGATGGAAGTTTAAGTTCTTGATTTGCGATCTTCCTTGTTTTTAACGTATGTGTTGATGGCTCTGAAGTTACAAAGACTGATGCTGCAAATACTCAGATTTAGTAGGTTTTCTTAAAGAAACATACTCCCTTTGCTGTCTGCCCTTAGGACACTTTCCCTCTGGAAACTTAACATTTTTTTACAGTTTTCTCCAGTTATGGTGTTTGAGGTCTGTGGAGCTCCTCATACTGCCATTTTGAACGGGCTCCCGAGTCCTGGTCCTCTGTAGGTACCTACTGATGTGTGTCAGGAGTAACTGATGTGGTGTCTGAGATGAACATGTAGGTAGGGCAGGACTGTCTCAGCTGCCAGTCATTGGGGAAGTGATGGTCTGCCGGGTTCATAATGCTGTTCTATGTGCTTTTCTATGTATTTGAAATTCTTCAAGTTTTTAAAAAGGGACATGAAAGGTACTTAAATCAACCAGGATGCCTAGGTGGCTCAGCGGTTGAGTGTCTGCCTTTGGCTCAGGCCATGATCCCAGGTTCAGGGATCGAGTTCTGCGTCGGGCTCCCTGCAAGGAGCCTGCTTCTCCCTCTGCCTATGTCTCTGTCTCTCTCTTTGTGTTTCTCATGAATAAATAAATAAAATCTTAAAAAAAAAACCTGGAAGGAGTCACAGTTGCCTACAGGAACCCTGCAGATGGCAGACATAAACAGATGGGGCTTCAGTGTGTGTGGGGCTATGAAACACCATGTCACAAGGAGGCCAGAGGCCACTCACATCCACTAGGTAGCACCTTGGAATGCAGAACTGGTGCTCTCAGATGCCCTGATATTTCAGGAGAGGCTGGAAGTGGGAATTTATGTAGGAAACCTCATTGGCATCTAAGTCAAAGTTACACAAAAAGAAACATACTGGCTGGAACTTGCCTGTGATCCATCAGTTTTTGCAACCTGTTTATAAGCAGTTGATAATTATGATTCACTTAGAAAATAGTGCTGGTGTGCTTAAGTATGTGAAAACAAAGTTATAGCTGCTAGGGCTCGAGAGGCGGATGTGGGGAGAGGTGCCGATGGTGGATAGGGTAAGTGTCCTTGTGTAAAAAGCAGCTGTTTTCCAGGAGCTTGTGCCTGGGACTGTGGCATGAGAAGTGGGCCATATGGGAGCTGTAAGGTGACCAGTGGGGAGGCTGGAGTGGCTCTAAACCACAGGGAGGGAGAAGAAAGCCATTGGGGGGGGTCATTGCCTTCGTAACATGAGTAGGGATTCAGTGTGACATTTGAAGGCCACAGTGGTAGAGCCCTGGTGTCTGAAATGGTTAGATGTGGCTGCCTATTGGAACAGGCCTCATGTGGAGCTCTGTGGCTTTTTCTCCTAAGGCCGTATTCTGTGTGACTGATTTTGCACTGTACCATGTATATAGTATCCACTGATAAACAATTCGAGTTATGTGATTTGTAGTCTTGGTTGCTGTAGCTCATGTTACAACTGTCACATTCACTCATAAAAAGGGAGACAAGGGAACATCATTTTGCTGGGGGCTTTTTAACTATGTTCGTGCAAATTTTCAAACATACACAAAAATAGAGACCAGAACAGTGAATCCCCAGGCACTTATCACACTTATTAATTTAATTAAGAATATGCTAATCTTTCATCTGTTTTCCCTGCGTGTTCTTTGCTAGAGCATGTTAGATCATGTCGTTTCACTCATAAATGCTTCAATTTGCATCTCTAATAAGGGCATCTGTTTCCACCTAACCACGTGTTATTAGCACACCTAGCAAAATAAACAGTAGTACTTCCTTTGTGTCCTCTACTGTCCTGTCCATATCCAGATTTCTCCAGTAGACTAAAAAAATATCTTGACCAAGTGATTCAAGTCCAGATTCAAACAGAGCCACTGCATCGTCGTCGAATTGCTTTTTTTGTGCCATTTGTAATCTTTGGTTTGTTTTCTCTTCCCAGGCCATGAGTGCAGCTGTTTGCTTTATGATTGATGGTAGGTACACACCTGTATCTGACTTCAGCCCAAGTAGATAAGCCTTTTCTCTTTACGCTTTGCTGTGTTCTATCCCTAAACAGTAAACATGTTGTCATAGAGGCTCTCTTAAGCATGGCTGCCCTCTCTGACTTCTGCCGTGGTAAATAGTCCTGGTCTTCCTGCTTCCTGCAGTAGGCCCTGGGCACCTTTCTGTGCCTTTCTGCCCATGAAGTGCTAACAAGAGTACCTTTGTCAAAGGGGGTTTGGGGGCTAAATGAGATAATGTTTATAAAGCACCAGAGGGCAGCTGGCCCCTGAGTGTTGTATGGTATTAGTTAAATATTTGACCTTCTTGGGTCTAGTGGGGATAGCCGGCCAATTTACCCATGCCACGGGTGTGTTTATACCGATACTCACAATGAGCTGGGGTCTCTGACTCTTCTAGAAGTTTCTCTTCTCTTGGGGAGGGGAGGGAGAGCCAGTTACTGCATTGTTTTATTTTCCTGATCAGTAAAGTTTTCATTGGATTACTGTAATCAAGACTGTTAGATGAATATTGACCTTCTCAACACAAAGAATTCTAAAACTTACTGGCATTTTTTAAATTGTTAGCCTCTGTACAGCCCACATTGGATTTTTGCCGAAGACTGGACAGCATTGTTGGGCCCCAGCTCACGGTGCTGGCGTCTGACATCTGTGAGCAATTTAACGTCAACAAAAGGATGTCTGGGTTTGTACTTCATGTTTACTTTCTAGCATTTAACTGGTTTGGGAAGAGTAAGAGTAGTTCTACTTAAGAATATGGACGGTAATGTCATTCACGTTTTCTTTGAATCCAGAAAAGAGGTGTGCAGTTCAGTCCTGTCTGATAAGCTCCCCGGGGAACTCTCCCTGAGCTTTTCTGCTCCATGATGATGGCTAGGGCTGGGTCTTCTGGGAACACATTTCCTCGCTCTGCCCTGACTGTGGCGTAAACGTATGGGGTTAGGCATACTAGCTGTGCCCATTGGCTGGACCTCATGAGCACCACCTCACGTCCTGCCTGCCCAGTGGTAAAATTCACACTGGCAGTGTTAATTAGCAGGGGTTTGCCTTGTGTGGACAGAAAGGACTTTGCTTCTTGTGCATAAATGTATGAGGTGAAGTTAGCTGTGATGTAGGCCATTAGGGCATTGGGCCAGAGTTTGGTGCTTTAAAAGACGCAGATTACTCCAGTAATCTATCAGGAGACTCAGGTTAACCTCATTATTTAAGAACACTGGGAAGTCACTGAACCTCTTGCTACTCTTCTCAATTTAAAGTCAAATTGCTGTAAAGATGAAGCAAGCACATGGGAAGTCCTTTGAGAAACATAAGCCGTCTATGAACTTTCTATGTTTGTGAAGTTACATGTTTGAATTCATGTATAACCTGTGTGCATAGTGACTCCATGCTGTGTGTATATGGTCTTAACAGAAGCGTCAGCCTGTAGAGAGGTCACACATAGGGTCCAGGTGATAGTACGAATAGGTTTTGTATCTGTGCGTAAATTGTTACTGTCAACAGCTTGCTTTGCGTTAGAAAAGATAAGGCCAAGAAATGAACATGCCAGACCACTTTCCATCCTGAGGTTTAATTTTTTTAAGTGAATTTAATTAACATACAATGTATTATTTGTTTCAGAGGTAGAATTTAGTGACTCATCAGTTGCATATAATGCCCAGTGCTCATTCCATCAAATGCCCATCACCCAGTTACCTCCCCGCCCCCCACCTTCCCTTCAGCATACCCCCCAGTTTGTTTCCTAGAGTTAAGAGTCTCTTATGGTTTGTGTCTTGAAGTTTAATTTTCACCATTAAACTGTCAGATTCTCTTTTCTGAAAGAAGCCTAAGTGAATCAGATCTGTTTGGTATCATGCAAATTATAAACTGTTGAGAGGAAATGTAGTTCCCTGTTTTTCCACCCCACTCCCCACCTCCCAGCCGTGGGGCGATTTCTGGACAGGGTACCCGTTCTGCCCGTGCTTTCCATAGATGTGATGGATTTTACATAACTCCCCAGCAAATATCTCAGGTAGACTTGCTGTCAGGGACCTTCTATTCTGCAAAGGTCAACTCTCCTTGGGATTGTTCAGAAGTCATATCGTATATTCTCACTTTTAACTTTGGTTTTATTGGTTTTTATAACATACAAGTGTGGGATTTATATGTCGTTTATTTTGGTAGTCATTTCCTTTAGATTTCTACCTTCAGTGTCATACCTATGGCTTTCTACTCCAATATCATAAAAATATGCCATTTTTATCTCTGGCACCTTATGGTTTTATCTTCTGTGTTTCAATCTTTAATTCACCTGGAATTTTCAAGCACTAGAGGAAGGGCTGTAATTTAAGATTTTTATTCCCAAATCAATAGTTGAAGAAAGGAGAGAGCTGTGGATATTAATAATCTAATTTCACTAGAAAGGAGTTTTCTCCCTGATATTTTATTAAAATTTTCAAACATAGGAGGTGGAAAAAATGACACCCTGAAAACACATGCAGCCCCCCATCAGACTCTACAGTTAATACTTTGCTGTGTGTGGTTTGGCACAGATCCATCTACTGCGGGGGACAGTTTCTGACTGCCTAGAACCACTGTGTAGTGTCTATGGCCCCTGAAAGATGGACACCTGGAAAACTTGATGATAGAACATACAACTTAGGGCAATGACCAAGAATAGAGACTCTAGAGGCATAGTTGTTTGTGTCTTTGAAAGGTGACCTAAAGGTTACTCTCAATGCATCTTAAGATTTTACTTGTAAGGGGCTCTTGTTGCCAAACTGTAAGTCTCAGCTGACTAGAAATGCTCTTGAGTAGGAAAGATAATGTGCTTTTCTTTTGGAAATCCTGACCCAGGTCAAACCATTTTACATGCCAGTTCTAGGACCTCCAAGACTCACATCATAGCTCCTAGCATTGCTGATAGGTGGGGAGTACTGTATTAGGCAGCCAGCCATCCTGACCCCAGAGGTCAGTGCCAGGACTCCAGGGCCCAGCTGTTCTGATAGCCTCAACCCTCACTGGGAGGCAACCATAGGGCTAGCTCAGGGCGTAATCTTTAGTGTCAAATTCATACTCATAAGCTGTGGTTCTTTTAATGTTCCTTATGAAATTGAGGTCACTCCTTTAAGGAATGGCATAAAGTAGATTTGTTTGGCCTTTGGTTTCTATTACTTGTGTGACACCTCGATTTTTTTCTACTTAAGGACTTTGTAATTCAATTATTTTAAATGTTTTTCTTTTTTTGAGAGTAATTTATGTCCATAATTTTTAAATTCAGAAATATAAATATTGGAAATCTTATCTCATTTAGCGTGTATCTTTTTAGACCTATACACATAGGAAATCAGTGACCTAGACACTGTTTTTTACTGGCAGGTTTTTAAAAATAAGTCATGCTGTAAATCTGTAGCTTTTAGAAAATATATGGCATGAACATCACTTTAAACCAATAAATATGGATCTATCCTCTTTCATGGCTTCATAGGTACTTAATTGGATAGATGAGCTCTGTTTGTTTAATCATTGTTCTATTTGGTGGGTAGCCTGGTTATGGCTGTTAACATTCAAACAACTCTGTATTAAATGATCTGATGTGTTAGGAGATGTCCCTGGCATGGAGTTCTGGGGCAAAGGGAATGTGCAGTGACAGTGTGGGTCACCTCACTCATTCTCCATGCTGTGTCTTGACATCTGCTAGGTGACACTCGAGGTTGGCATTTCTGTCTCTTCCATGAACTGCCTGTCTGTGTCCATTGGCCCTTCCCACTGAAGTGCTTTAAATCTTTTCTTTCAGCACTTTTCATGTAATACTCTTCAGTCATACCACGTATTTGTTTAACTTTGGTTTTACTATTTTTTATAACATTTGGGTTTCCTATGTAATCCATTTCATTAGTCATTTCCTTTTGATTTCTGTTTTCACTGTCATATTTGCAGCTTTCTATCCCAGTATCATTCTTAAAATGCCATTTTTATCTGTGGTGTTTTTATGATTTTATCTTCTGTGTCTCGGTCTAATTCACCTGGAATTTTTAAGGGCTCTAATTTAATACTTTTTCCCCAAAATCAATAGTTTTCTGAATCTGAGACATTTATTTCTTTCACATATTCTTACTTACTAGCCACTTTGAATACTAAATTTGGAAAGGGAGGAGGAGGAGGAAGGACAAAGTTACTGGAAAAGGAGACTCTTTCCTGTGAGTGATTTTTATAATCCTTTTTTAATCAGTCATTTTGAATACATTTGTAAAACAGGGACGCCTGGGTGGCTTAGCGGTTAAGCGTCTGCCTTCTTCTCAGGGCGTGATCCTGGAGACCAGGGATCGAGTCCCACATTCGGGCTCCCTGCATGGAGCTTGCTTCTCCCTCTACCTGTGTCTCTGCCTCTCTGTGTGTGTGTTTCTCATGAATAAATAAATCTTTTTAAAAAAATTCTAAAATAGCCCAATTATTTGGGAGGCTGATGGTTATAGGATTTCTACAAGAAGTGAGGAGTAAAACCGTTGACAGAAGCTTGGTAAGAATAAGACTTAGGATGGGATGCCAGGCGGAGGGACATGACAAGGGATGGGTTAGTCTGACTGGTGCAGAGGTGGTGCAGTGGGAGCAGGGGCTCAGAAGCCTTCCTTCCAGGATAGGGTTCACATGTATATTCCTGGGGCCCAGCTGTGCCTCACTTCCTGATTATCCTATCCTGAGCAAGAGCTGTAATGTTTAACTCCTACATGAAGGCCAGTTTTCCTTTTTACAGTATCCACATCGGTCAGTTCAGAATCTTTTTCGTTCAGTTCATTAAGTGAGGAATAGCTGTCCTTATCCAGAAACCATGTGTGTGGCAACCTTTAGCCATCTGGAACGAGGCCCAGAATAAGTAAAGCCACCAGATGGTCTCAGTTCCACCAACTATTGACTCCACAGGAAAACTCCACAAGCAATCAGGCACCTGCTAAACAGCTGATGATTTCCTCCATGGGTTCAGGGCCTGTAGTAACCTCTCCTGGCATGCTTTTGAAGTTTGGATGGGTTTTCACATACCTGGTTCTTAAACACTTAGTCTCTGGCATCTCAGTAAAACTGCTGCTCTTTACTTGTGGGAAACCTCCCTGTGACTCTGCCAGTCACAGATACTTAGGTTTTCAGCTGATAGTAGAAGGGGCAAAAGGATGTAAAGAAAGGGTTGGCAGAAAACAGAAAATCTGTAAAAAACTTGTGGACATATGAACTGAAAAAGCATAGACTACAACCAGTTAAGACAGGCCTCGCCTTTTCATGTTCTTTGAGGATATCGTTACTGTGCTATGATATTTTAAACCAAACTTTGTAACATCGTCCAGGAAGAATTCTGTATTTCCCTGCGTTCAGTGTATTTTATATTGACGTGATTAACTGTATTTAGCATGCTCTTTTTTAAGAAGGCAAGAAATTTTCATTTCTGTGTTTAGGAGGAAAAATGCTTTGGTGTTTAAAAGGAGTCCGTTTTCACTCTTTGGAAAAGATACCAGGTGAATGTGGCCACTACTACTTCAAAACTAGCACACCATTTGTTAGATGTTACTTTTGACATGACTAATGAGTCTTAGGATGCACATTATCCTTGCTGTTTTTATTGTGAGCAGTTCTCTCTTTTTTCTTTTCTTTTTTTTTTTTTAAGATTTTATTTATTTATTCATGAGAGACACAGAGAAAGAGAGAGGGATACAGAGACATAGGCAGAGGGAGAAGCAGGCTCCACACAGGGAGCCCGACATGGGCCTCGATCCCAGAGGTCTCCAGGATCAGGCCCTGGGCTGAAGGCGGCACTAAACCTCTGAGCCACCAGGGCTGCCCTCTCCTTTTTCTTATATGAAGAGGACAACTTAATTGTGAAAGAGCAAGTAGCAATTTTTAATCTATTTCTGTTTTTATATTATCGTAGTGAAAGGTGGGGTGGAAAGAGGCCACATTGGTCCCTGTCTTAACTACTGAATAGCATTTGCTAGTGTAAATGTCTACTGGGGGTAGAAAAGAAATCATTTAGATCTTAGAAGAATATTTTACATATTCTAAATGAGGGAGAGAGGGAGGCCACAGAGTGTTTTGGAGTGAAATGGAATAGCCAGGACTGTAAGCCCGATTGAGGCTGGGTAGGAGTTTATATGCCCAGACAACTAAATTCACAACTCTTTCCAAGCATTTTTAAAATGTTCTATTTTTCCAGTGTTTCTTGTAGTTATACGTGCTTTTGTTAGTTTTAGGGGGCCTACGAAAAACATATTCTGGTTTTGTGAGAATTCTCTTTTTATGTTCCTGGACACTAAGCCATCCACATTCTTTCTTTGCCTAGATGTAAAGTATTACAGTAGTAACCCACTTTTCCGGAGGTCGGATTTCCGGCACCCTCAGCCCACCAGAACATGGCTCCTAACCCTGAAGTAAGCAGAGAAGGCTTCTGAGCCTCCCAGTGGCAGGGCTGCTCAGGCTGTCACCACACCCCAGAGTGTAACTTAAGGGTGCTGTGAGCAGGGAGGGAGGGAGGCCCCGGGAGCTGTGGCCTCGCTGTCAGAGTGGTTCCCTGAGGAGTCCAGACTCTGACCTGGGAGGCAGTGTGGTAGCATTGTCTGGTTATTTCAAATAATAAAAGATGTATTCCAATTAAAATATTCTTTATGCTTCAGCAGTAAAGCCGAATACACCTTAGAATGGTCTCCATTTAGGGTGACAAAAGCTTTGTTACCATAGTAAGCTTCAGTTCTCCCTCCCTTACGTACAGGGATCATGTTCATTCCCTGGCACTGTGGGATAAATGAGCTATTCCTCTCCTAAGACAGGTCAGCAAACAACTTCTGCAAAAGACCACATAATACACCTTTCAGATTTTGTGGGCTGTATATGTTGCAAACACTAAACTGTTGTTGAAGTGCAAGTGGCTGTAGATAATACATGACCTATGGGTGTGGCCGTATGCCAACAAAACTTTAGGAAAATGGCCACATTTGGCACCAGAGCCACTAGTCTTTTGCTGACTCCTCTGCTAGAAGACAGATGACTTGTGTGTAGTTTGCATTTGTTTTTAAAAATTCAGTGAATAATCCAGTGATTGCCATTTCTAAAAGCACTATTATTGAGAAAATCACCACAAAATGGTTATAATACTGGTTTTTCAAAAAGATAAGCTTTCTGGAAAATCCCATCATTGGATACTTCATGGGTATCAAATAAGTTACTATTAGCATCTTAACTGAGATTCTTGATTTGAAGGCCCCATCATCAAAAATACAAGGCCTTCGCCACATGGATTTAAGGTTTTAACATTGTAGTGCTCTTGTTAGGATAAATATTCTTTGAGAATGACATTTTAATGACATGTTTTCACAGGTCTGAAAAAGAACCCCAGTTTAAGTTTATCTACTTCAACCATATGAATTTAGCCGAGAAAAGTACAATTCACATGAGGAAAACACCTAGTGTGTCACTTACATCTGTGCATCCGGACTTAATGAAGATTCTGGGTGACATCAACAGTGATTTTACTAGGTAATTCTAACAACTTCTCAAATTAGGTGTCCCTTTTCTAAGAAGAGAAGAGGCAGTGGAGGGATCTTCTTCAAAGCAGAGCATCCTGGAGCCTCCCCAGAAGGGGCCCCCCTTTTGAACCGATCAGGAGGCCCCAAAGTCAGTAGTCACTTGCATGTGGGTCCCCAGACTTTTCAAGTGACTGGTTGTGGCTTCTGGTCTTAGAGTGGTGGGTCTTTCACGCTCTAATAACCCTGTAACAAACTATTGCATTTTGGAAACTGTCTTGCAGAGTGGATGAGGACGAAGAAGTCATTGTGAAGGCAATGAGTGATTACTGGGTTGTTGGGAAGAAGTCTGACCAGCGGGAGCTGTATGTTATTCTGAATCAAAAAAACGCAAACCTGATTGAAGTAAATGGTAAATAGGCTTGGTACTTGAGCAGAACTAGAGTGCTGTCTGTTGAGTGTGCTGAGAAACCTGCTAGAGAGCGAGTCACACAGAGGCTGTTGAACAGCAGCTGCCCATTGCTTAAAGGAAACCATGATTTAATCCATTCTGTGTTTTTCTGTTGCACAATTCCTTGAAAATATACATGAAAAACTTCCCTGGGTTACAGGAAACTTGGCAGTGGCCAAAGGAAAAATTTCTATAATGCTAAAAGAAAGAAAACTCCCATGGCTTTATTCACTGTGTATAAAAAAGTCCACTTTTATTCCCAGTGATAAAGAACCATCCCCAGGGAGAACTGTGAGGTTCATAGCGCAAGCTACAGCCCCGTCTGTGGGTGAGCTCCCTCTCTCTCGCCTTCCAGTCCTGATGGTTGGTCTGGTCCCCCACGCCCTGTGGTTCCAGCAACCGCCTCGGCTGATCCTGACAGCTGCTTGCCCTGGAGGAGAGGATGGTGTCCCCTTCGCCACATCGGGCTCCTTTGCTCCTCTGCTCGAGCTGGAGAGGGAGAGCTGGGGATTGCTCTATACAGGAGAAAAGTTGGGTGTGAGGTTTCATTTTTTGCACGAATCTGCTAGGACACGGTTCATTTTTTTCTTACTAGTACTTGTAGTGAGAGTTGCATGCATTAGAAACAGCAGTGACTCACCCCGGCACAGGGGGAGTGGAGTCATGATGGCGCCACTTCAGCAGGGCGCTTGAACCACAGCCCTGGTGGCAGTTGGGGTTCCTGGGGGGTTGCATCCAATTGCTCAATATTTTAGAAGTTGTGCTCCAGGTCCCCAACTGGTGGGTGTCTCCAGCACTTGCGGTGTTAGACATGCACCTCCCTGGGCCCAGACCAGCTGCATGTTGATGTGCAGAACAGTACTGAGGCCTTTAGGCACGGGAGGCTGACTTTTTGTTGTCCTTCTCCTTGATTGATGACCATTTCTGACCTAGGCCTTAAGAGATTAAAGGTCATTCAATGCAGACATTTATTCCCAACTATATTCCAGAAGAGTTTAAGGTACTAAAATATAACCTATAACCTTTCATGTGAAAACCTCAGTTTCTCACTCCCCTGTTTTCTGTTTATGTTTGTTTGTTTTTTGCAGAAGAGGTAAAGAAACTTTGTGCAACACAGTTCAATAACATATTCTTCTTGGATTGACCGATAGTGGCTCACCGAAACATCTTTTGAAAAACAACTCAGCAGGCATTTTGTTTACCACTGCAGGTTCTCGGTCATATTATTGACTGAATTAATGACAATAGTAAAGCAATACTTGCTTTGAAGAATCAAATTTCTACTCAGTCTGATGATCCCCTGGGGTTTTTAGATTTTAAATATTTATGCGGAAATAATTAAAGGTAGTTGGCTACATCTCTTTCATTCCATTCTTTTGACATTATGTGAATATTTTACTGGAAAATAAGATGAATAAATTGTTAAGGTTTTTAAATTCTGGTTTGGCTCTGAGTCTCTCACCTGTTGCTTGTTTGTGGACCACCACCCTGCCCCCTCCCCACCCTGTGGGCCCCTGGCTCATCCTTGGGGATATTCTAGCTGCTAGAGCTGCTCAGAGTTTGGGTCCCTTCCCTACTACCTGCTATAGCAAACCCAGAAGCATTCTGTCAGTCTCATGTGTTCATTGCTGACTTAATTGCTAGACTTGGTTTTTCTCTTGAGTACTAATGTGATTTTTAGACCATATGTAATACAAAGAACTGAATGGAAGTGCCCCAGTGTGGTCTAAACGTCAGGCATTCCTCATTTGTCATGTAGAACTCTTGGGCATAACGTTTCCTAACACAGACTTAAAGTTTCACTTCACCTCTGGCTGCACATGCATTCTTCAGCCTTTCCACCTTGGCCTGTGGTCCCTGCTGCATTTGCAGTGCTGGGGAGCTGATAGGGGAGCAATGGGGCAGGAACTGGATAAGAGGCAGCATGTGAGGACATGTAAGATTTGGATACAGGGCTTGCAGTGCTGGGGAGCTGATAGGGGAGCAATGGGGCAGGAACTGGATAAGAGGCAGCATGTGAGGACATGTAAGATTTGGATACAGGGCTTGCAGTGCTGGGGAGCTGATAGGGGAGCAATGGGGCAGGAACTGGATAAGAGGCAGCATGTGAGGACATGTAAGATTTGGATACAGGGCACTGACAGGGGCAAGGAGGTAGTCCAGGCTCAGGTGGGGGCCCTGAAGAAATGTTTTAATTAGTCTGTCCCCTGCCAGCTATCCTGTGATGAGTTTTGTCAGATTCTAAACTTCATCACTCATACTGTCCTTTGATTTAAAAAATATATATATAGAAGGTGCACGCATTTAGTACCCAGGTGTGTATATTCATTCACCTCTGTTTCAACCACATAAGAAACATGAAATGCAGTGGCCCAGGCAGGGGTATTTCAAAAACACTAAGACAAGAAGTAAAACGCAGTTTTATTGGTCAGGAAATGTGTTACAGTACTTCAGTTGTCAGTTCCTTTTACATCGGCTTGTTCCTGGAGCTTGTGTACAAATGCAGTAGCCTCTACTTTTTCTTTTTCTTACTTGTGACGGGCTTGCTGGATGGGGGCACTATGGTGTCCTCCTTAGGGGGGCTGGGTGTGAAACTTGAGGATGGAGCATCCACTGGTTCCTTGATCACGGTGATATCGATCTCACAGTCTGCTCTTTTGGCCTCTTCCTCTTTCAAGCTGTTCAGCCTAACACAAGACGCAAACAGGGGAAGACAGCTTTGTTTTTACTTCACAATTTCAAAACCAGATTTTATGCTGTATTTTGTTTACACCAAATTGGCCATACCTAGATTTCAACTAGTTTTTTGTAAGCAAAACTGTAAATTGTCCTCACTTGGCCTGAAATAAAAAGTAATACCATATATAGACACTCCAGAATAAAATTTCCATGTATCTAAGGTGATTTTGGAACATTTTCCTTTATAGCAACCAAAGCAGCTAGTAAGTGGCCTTTTAAAATACTCTTGTGATCTTTGCCCGTAAGTATAGGATTTTTTTAAAAGATGTTATTTGAGGGATCCCTGGGTGGCACAGCGGTTTAGCGCCTGCCTTTGGCCCAGGGCACGATCCTGGAGACCCGGGATCGAGTCCCGCGTCGGGCTCCCTGCATGGAGCCTGCTTCTCCCTCTGCCTGTGTCTCTGCCTCTCTCTCTCTCTGTGTGACTATCATGAATAAATAAATAAAATTTAAAAAAAAAGATGTTATTTGAGAGAGAGCGAGCACATGAGCAAGTATGGGGAGGCAAAGGGAGAGGGAGAAGCAGACTCCTTGCTGACTAGGGAACCCAATTCAGGACTGGATCCCAAGACCCTAAGATCAAGACTTGAGCCTAGGCCAGATGCTTAACCAATTGAGCCACCCAGGTGCCCCTGTAAGTATATTTTACTGCTTTCTTCAACAGACCAATGGGCTTGAAGTGTGCTTTGCAAAGAGCAGGCTCTAGCACTCTGGACAGACGTGACTGCACAGTTCTCTACCATGTTTCTAGAAAGGTAGGTGAGCAGCAGGTAGTGGGGTCTCACCACATGCCAGGCACTGTTGTAGATATTTTACATCAGCTCACTCAGTCCTCACAACAGCCCAATGGGGGATTATCTTACAGATGGGGAAACCGAGGCGTGGTGAGTGGATTTCATCCAAGGCCACCAAGGGGTGGGACTGGGATCTGAACCTAGCAGCCTAGCTCTGTGGCCTCTCAGCCATGATGTGGACTTGAGTCTGTGTGAGCCTTGGGGCCCAGGCATCCCCACCACCTGAGAGAACCGGTGGCCACAGGCAGGATCCTTCTGACAGTTCCAGGTTCTCGGTACCACCAGAGGAGCTGCATCTCTGAGGAAGTCGTACATTTTTAATGAAAGCATTTGGTCCACAGCCACAGAGATGGGAAGGAAAGATCATGGAGGACAGGAGCAGAGAAGTTCTGTGAAGTTACCTTGCTTCCAGCTCATCGTTTTCGAGTTTCCTCTGGTGAGCCGTGGCCATGTAATGCAGCCTGTCCTCCCTTATTTTCTCCTTGAGGGTTTCTTCATGTTTGTGTGCATGGAACAGTATGTTCACAAAAAAGATATACATACTTGTGATCCACACAGCAAGTTTTTCTTTTGGTTCATCCTTGGATTTTTCTTTTCTCTCTGGAAGAAAGTTTAAAGTGAGCCTGAATACAATTCCAGTTCTGCAACTTTCTACAATGACTAAGCATCCTCCTCTCCTGGAAGATGGGGTGATGCTATGCTTCCCCTCAAGCTTGGAAGGGATTAGGTAACCACAGAGTGCTTCACTGACTACCTGGAACAAGGCAGGTACCTGTCAGTAGACCCAGAGCTATGATTATTGACGTTCTGAGTCTCCTGGTATTTTTTTTCTAAATGGTGTAAGTATTCTTGTTTTCTAAAATTAAAACTATGAATTGAATTTAAACTAGAAAATTTACATTTTTCATGTTTTATGTGGGAGGGGACCTTGGCTTTTGCAGTTTTCAAAGGTAGTTAAGAAAATAGGATTTTTAAAAAGATTTTATTTATTTAGAGAATGTGAGCAGGGGAAGGGCAGAGAGAGAGGGACTCTCAAGCAGACTGCACTGAACACAGAGCCAGACGGGCTCGATCCTACCACTCTGAGATCACACCCTGAGCCCAAATCAAGAGTTGGATGTTCAACCAACTGACCTATCCAGGCATGGCATGAAAGAGGATTTTTAAGTCTCAAATAAATAAGGTCGGTAGAACCACTGACTTGGTAAGAGTTGCTTCACATCTACAAAGGCCAAAAGATACACACTTTAGAATGTGTTTAATTCTGGGAAAAGAATGCTTTGGATGGTTCAGTAATATCAATAAGCTCTGGGATCTCTCAAGACAGCAAGTTTTTTTAGACTGTGTCTCTAGCATGGGCTACTCTGGCTGTGTGAGGGCAGGGATGGGTAAAGAGGGTGGGGACAGGGACAATGGAAAGGTGGGTTCTGCGAGCAGTCCAACTTCCCATCTCAGGAGCCACTGTGGCAAGCATAGTGGAACACTAATAGGGCCTTGTGCCAGTACCAGATCTTATAAACACTGAGAGAAACCTTCATCTGCACTTTACACATGAGTTCCTAGGTTATCCATATAACCTGGAGCGGGCCCAGGCTTGGGAGAATGTTGTGCCTGGAGGTAACTGATGAAGAACACCTCCCTGGGATTGTGTTGACCCTCTTCCAGGCTCTGGGAACCATGTCAAAGAGCATGCACAGTCTCTGCTGCTGCTGCTGCTGCTGCTGCTGCTGCTTTTATTCTTGATACTTCCGAAGCAGAAGCTTCGGAAGTATCAGAGTGCAGGAGTCCAGAGCATAGATGTGAGCCAAACAAGTTAGAGTCAAGGCTCAGCTATGTCACGTATTAACTGTGTAACCTGCAAGTGAATATTTGTGCCTTAGCTTCCTCATCTGCAAAAAGGGAACCATGGAGGACTTACCTCACAGAGGTGGTGTGAAGGTTAGATGATTTAATACAAGTAAACAGTGATATGCTTGTGGTTTCCCCACAAGTCATGTTTGCCAAAGCAAACAATTACAAAATAAATGGCCACACACCAGGAGAAAATATCTACCAAACATATCAGATAAAGGATGACTTGTATCCAGATTACATAAATAGCTCAATGAGACAACCCGATAAAAAGAAATTTTAAACACACACTAAGTGTTGGGAGAAGACAAGGAGAAACCAGACCACCTCCTATATTACTGATGGCAGATAAAATGGCATGGCCAATTAGGAAAACAGCCTGGCTATTTTAAGCACTAAGCATAGACTTAGCATATGACAGAACAATTCCGACACTGGATATCTACCCAAGAAAAGTTAAAATATGTCCACCATGCCTTACACACCAATTTTCACTATTCATGATAGCCCAAAGTGGCAACAGTCCAGCTAGATGAAGACGGAAAACGTGGCTTATTCGTACAATGGAACACTACTCAACCGATCAAAGGGACACAATGCTGAGATGTTACAGCATGAATGAATCCCCAAGTAATTACAAGTGAATAAGATGACAGATGCAATAGACATATGATTCCATTTATTTGAAATGTCCAAGAAGAGCAAATGCACGAAGAGAGAAACTAGGCCATTGGTGCCAGCTGGCCCACAGGAGCCCCCAGCACCCCATGCACCTCACCACATAAGGTGGGGGGAATGAGCGCTCACAGAATGTGGGCCAGGGAGAGACCACCAACTTGAGTTTTAGCACCATCTCGGGAAAGCAAGAAGGAGGCTGCCAGCACACGACCTGATATGCTGTGGGATGGAGAGAAGGCATGTGGGCTTAAGAATTCTGCTGTAAGAGGGACTAAGAAATACTGAGCAGGTGTGGCCTTAGGTGGTCTGAGAAAGCTTCCGAATCCCTAGCAAGGCCGAAGGAAGGTTTTATTAGTGGAGGTTTCAGATACAATGACAGCAACACAAGGCCTTAAAGAACACAAACCCTCTAAGAAATGTGACCACTGCAAGAGCACAATAATCTTCTAGTAACCAGCCCCAAAGTTATCCATGGAGGTTTGCAATGGACCCGACTGAACATTCAAAATAGCCATTTGAAGGATGCTCAGGGAGGTAGAAGCACACCCAGGAAGAAAATTCCATGAAATCAGGAAAACAATGTACAAATAGAAGGAGCTTATAACAAGGAGATGGAAATCACAAAGAACCAAACAAATTGTGGAACAGAGGAACGTGAGATGAAAATCCAGTAGAGCGTCAACCACAGAAATCGATGGAGCAGAAAAAACACTCTGTGGATTAAAAGACGGAACTTTTGAACTAATATTGTTTAGGTTTCATTAATTTAGCATGTTTTAGACTCCGGGAATTCAGCAGGGATCTTCCCACTCATGTAGGTTTTATGTACCCACCCCTGCCTCTTTCCCAGTGGAGAAACAGGGGTCTGGTTTGGTTTTGGTTTGGGGGTTTTTTGAGTCACATTTTCAAACCAGTCTTGGTTATACTGATTCTGTTAAATGAATTGAAAGGTTTTTAGCATAAGCTTTAGAGTTTTGAAAATAAGAATGTAAGAACAATTCTTATATTGGTACTGTCTTAAGTTTTTTTGCTCCTAAAATTAAATATAGGAGAGTAACTTTTTTAATGGTTTTCCCCCCATGATTATTCAGGGTTTGTTTTTTTTTTTGTATTTTCCTGAGTCAATTTTTGTTATCATCTTCCTAGAAAAGAATTTCAAATTTTTCACATGTATTAGCTTGTAGATGTATAGCATCCTTTTACTACACTTAAAAAAAAATCTTGGGACACCTGGGTGGCTTAGTGGTTGAGAATCTGCCTTTGGCTCAGGTTGTGATCCCAGGGTCCTGGGATCAAGTCCTGTATCAGCTCCTCACAGGGAGCCTGCTTCCCTCTCTGCCTGTGTCTCTGCCTCTCTCTGTCTCTCATGAATAAACAAAAATCTTTTTTTAAGAATCTCATTGGTGGGTACTTTTTCCTTCCAAGAGAGATGCTATGTGTTCTATCACTTTCATCCTGACTGTACTAGGTTGGGGGTGTCTGTCTTCTCACATAAAAAAACCAGCTTCCAGAATGATCAATTTTAGTAATTTTAGTATTTTTGTTTTATGCATAATTTAGGAGTTTATATTTTTGTTAATGCCTCCTCCTGCTGTCCTTATATTTCATTACTCCTCCCTTCTACCCTTTTTTGGCCAAATGTTGAAGTTACCATGTTTTCTTGTTTAACGGTGAAAACATTTAACACTATCCATTTTCTTAGGTTATAGTTTTGACTGTATCTCATAGGGAGTGTTTCTATTTTTTCAGTTTTCTAAGTATCCTCAGAAATGTAATTTTACTTTTCTCTAAGGATTAGTTAGAATAGAGGACCTCCTATTTGGTGGGGATTTTTGTTGTTTTGGTTTTAGTGCTTTTAATGTCCCAAGTGGTTGTATGATGGTTTGCTGTTTAACTGAATACAGCTGGCCCTTTTTAAAATAGGAAGACCCCAGTGGTATTAGATGACTCCAGCAAAAGGAGAGGGATGAAGCTGGAAGCCAGTGTAGACAGGGCTAAGTAATGATCTGAGAGTTGGGGAAGTAGAAGCCTCAGATAGAATGCTAGGGGGATTTTTACCAGGGAGGGGGATAATATTAGAAGGAATATGAGGTACTTGAGCATCTTTAAAAACCATCTTACTCCATACACAAAAATGAAATGGATTAAAGACCTCCCCCAGAAAACTCCTAGAAGAAAACATAGGTAGTAATTTCTCTGACATCAGTCCTAGCGACATTTTTCTAAATGTGTCTCCTGAAGTGAACAAAAGCAAAAATAAACTATGGGGACTACATCAAAATAAAAAGCCTTTGCACAGTGAAGAAAACCATCAACAAGACAAAACGGCAACCTACAGAATAGGAAAAGATGTTTGGAAATGATAATATCTGATAAATTCTTCATATACTTTGGGTATTAGTCCCTTAATACCAAAATAAAATAATCCTATTAATAAATGGACAGGGGAAAAAATAAATGGACAGGGGACCCGAATACACATTTTTCCAAAGACATTCAGATAGGCAACAGACACATGAAAAGATGAACATTCATCATTGGAAACACAAATCAAAACCACAGTGAGATATCACCTACACCTATCAGAATGGCTCAAATCAAAAACACAAGAAATAACAAGTGTTGGGAAGGATATTGAAGAAAAAGAACCCTTGTGTATTGTTGGTGGGAATGAAAATTGGTGCAGCCACTGTGGAAAATGGAACAGAGGTTCCTCAAAAAATTAAAATTACCATATGATCCAGTAGTTCCATTACTGGGTATTTATCTAAAGAAAATGAAACCACTATTTTGAAAAGGAATATGTACCCCTATGTTTATTGTACCATTATTTACAAGAGCCAAACATGGAAGCAACTCAGGTGTCTATCCATAGATGAATAGATGAAGGTGTGTGTGTGTGTATATGTACACACTTACTATGTACATATTTATACCTATTTATACACATATATGCATATGATGGAATATTACTCAGCCATAAAAAATGAGATCTTGCTATTTGCAACATGGATGGACCTAGAGGGTATAATGTTAGGTGAAGTAAGAGAGACAAATACCATAGGATTTCA